GTAGTACATGTAAATGTATTACACACTTTACATTTGACACATCTGCCTCAAGGGAACTTCAATTCTGAATGTCTACCTGAGGTAAATATTAACAGAATACCAAATGCCGGGGCTTGACATATTTGTACAAAGTGAAACAGAAGTGATTTATAAGTATTATTTTGTATTCTTCTCATTCATAGAAAATAATGTTTCTGAAAACACTGGATCCTTGGGTGAAGGGTCAAAATACATTTCTGTTTTCGTTTCTTATTCTGTAATACACAATAGTTCAAACTGCAAGTCACAGTACTTCCTAGGAATTACTGTATTATAGCTCCTTCAAAATACACACTCTCATGCTCCATTTATGTTTTATTATTTAAGTATGTCACTTGGGCATTTTCCCCATTGAACTTTATCCAAGTTCACACAGAGCACTAAGTGTCTGATAACATTTACATCATAATTAAGAATCCCAACCATGCATGGTCCAAACATCTTTATAATTTTTATGTGTATTTTCAAATGCATCACTTCATAAATGAAATGGAAGTTTACACGTCAATGTGACAGTGAATCTAGAATATGTTCAACAGGGACTAAGGGGGAAAGATGGTGACTTTCCAGCCAAGGATGTCAAAAACTTCTAAGATAAATTAGGTAAAACAATGGGGACCCAGAGAGCTTCACATGATGTAGAATTTGTATGAATCTAAAAGAAATCCATGTATAGCAAAACTGCTGACAAAAGAGGAACCTAACAGTATGTGAGAATACCAGGTGTAGAGTGAGGTGTTGGGCAAGAACCCAGTGATCCTGAAATGGACACATAGGTGTGATGAAGGCTCTGGAGGCTGGAGACTGTTTCCTGCCTTTTCCGTGCTTTCCCTGGGGCATGTCCATCTAGATGTGGGGAAATACTCAACTATAAGACAACCATCTTAATTGTTTTTAAGTATAAGAGAGAATTTGTTCAATGTAATAAGAGCAAGTGGACCTTGAGTTTTCACTCCCTTATCTGGACAATTCTCTACGTTCATTTCCATTAACTCTCTTCCACCACCAAGTAGCTAAAGTGGGAAAAGCACCAGTGGTCTCCGTTCAAATATAACCATTTCTGATGGTTGTCATTTGCTTTTCAGCCAAGTAGACAGGGTCTGAGTTTTTGTGTTCTGGTGCAATTTTTCAGACTCCTGGCATTGACCTTCCTACCTAAACCTGGACAAGTAGTATAGAGTTAGGTTCAAAATCAAAAGTTACCCAAATAGTGTACTGATTTCCTTAGAGCCAGCTCTAGTTTTCCTAAATTGCCCACTTTTTCAAAGTAGCACAAAGTTCTTCACATTGTGCCTCATGAACACATTTTACAGGTAGATGTGGAACTAAAGAACAGACAAGGGCCTCAGTGAAGACCTGTGTGTGCTGATAGGCGGTATTGCTCGAGACTCCTCTCGGGTATTCCCTGGGAATGGGGTGAGGGTGTGAGTCAAGCCAGGGGGAGAAACCAGGAATAAATCCCCCAGCACCTTCTCACTAAGGACAACTCCAGAGCTGCTATCTGAACTGCCTGCCTCACTAGCTGGCACACAACTCTTGTGTTCACATTAACATTTAGGGTACATTTTAATGATTTAGTTACTAATCTAAACCCTCATGCATTTTATGATTCAAATAAACAAGTATGTGTGGATCATAAATAGCAACACCTAAAACAGTAATTTTAGCTTTTTTCTAACTGTAAGTGAAAAATCGTATCCTTCTTAATAAAAATACCAGTTTTAAAATCTACCATTTTGAATCTGACATTTATCCATGCAGATGCCTAGAACAAGCAGCTTAAGGAGAGTGAGGGGGGATATGGGTGCTCAGAGGAGAGAGGCAGGTGTCTGTGGGAGGGGGACCCAGTGAGGACCAGGACTGACTGGTGCCTCCACCTATGCCAGCCCACCCATGTGTCCAGGATCCACCCAGTCCATAATGCTGAACTGTGTTTGGGGACTGCTGCAGGTCTGTGTTGCAGTGGGACTTTGAAGGCACCCTAGAGTCTCAGTTTAATGATGCTAGACAAATCTATGTCATGATTTAAAAATGGAAAGTGAAGCTAGAAATTTCCAGCAGCTTTATGGTCACTGGAGGTCATGACTTTTCTTGTCCCCAAGGAGTAGAATATTCTAAAAATCAAGCAATAGCACAAAGCTGAAGATCTTATCTTTGTTTTTTGGATTCCAGGAGCACAGAATTGAATTAATCATGATCCTTGGTTTAGGAGACCTCATCATTTGTGAAAGCATGGCCCACTTTATAGGTTTCCATGTTTATTATTATACCTGTATACATATTTTAAGTATCCAGTATAACTGTCTATGGGCCTGACTACATTCACCACCTGGCATCCTCTACCTGATAACCATCAGCCCAAATACTATACTCATCTCTTGTTCTGCTTTTCTAATCTCTTGCTATCTATACATAGCTAAAAAAAAATTCTAAAGTCTTCCTTTTTTTAACTTTATAAAAAGCGTGTCATGGGCGCCTTGGTGGCTCAGTGGTTTAGGCCGCTGCCTTCGGCTCGGGTCATGGTCTCAGGGTCCTGGGATCGAATCCCGCATCGGGCTCTCTGCTCGGCAGGGAGCCTGCTTACCTCTCACTCTCTCTGCCTGCCTCTCTGCCTACTTGTGATCTCTCTCTGTCAAAGAAATAAATAAAATATTTTTTTTAAAAAAAGCATGTCATATTGTATATAGTATTTTAAGACATTTAAAATTTAATATTGCTAAGATTCATCCGTATTATTACAAGCCATCAAAGTTCATTTGTTTTTTTAATTAACACGTACAATGAAATGCAGAATTTCAATGTGAAAATTATGTACAAAGTGAACAAATTAATGAGTTTAGATAATTGCATACACCCATGTAACTGATACCTCAACCAAGATATAGAACATTTCCGTCACCCCCCAGAAAGTTCCCTATACTTCCATATTTTTAATACTCACTTCTGTAGTAACTACTGGTGTGACTTAGACTGCCACAGCTTAAGTAGCCTATTCTATTTTATGTAAATGAAATCATATAGTATATACTCTTTTGTGCTTAACTTTTCACCCAACATAATGATTGCCCATGATATATTGTGCATCATTCATTCATTTTTTTAATATACATTGTATTAATCTACCACAGTTTGTCCCATACTTTATATGGACATTTGGTTTGTTTCCAATTTGGGTGCATCTACCCAATGGAATCCTACTAGCAATAAAAAAAAAAAAACCTGAACTTCTGATATATGGGACAACATGAATGATTCTCAGAAGCATTCTGCAAATAAAAAAAGTCAGGCACAAAAGGCTACCTGCTATATGAATTCATAAATATAACATTCTGGAAAAAGCAAAGCCTTAAGGACAAAAAATATATCGATGTTTGTAAGAGTTAGGGGTTGGAAGAGATTGACTACAAAGGGGCAAGAGGGACACTGATAGAAATGTTCTACATCTTGGGGCACCTGGGTGGCTCAGTAGGTTAAGCCTCTGCCTTTGGCTCCGGTCATGGTCTCAGGTCCTGGAATTGAGCCCCGCATCTGGCTCTCTGCTCAGCGGGGAGCCTGCTTCCTCCTCTCTCTCTGCCTGCCTCTCTACCTACTTGTGATCTCTCTCTCTGTCAAATAGATAAACAAAATCTTTAAGAAAAAAAAAAAGAAAAGAAATGTTCTACATCTTGAAGTGGTAGTAACACAACTGTGTGGGTTTGTCAAAACTCAGAATTGTATAACTAAAAAGGGTGAGTTTTACTGTATATAAGTTATATTTCAGTAAACCTTACTTAAAAAATAAAATAGGTGTTTGAGAAAACCTGCTAAGACAATCTAAATAATTACAGTGAACTATAACAGATAATTCCTGCCTTTCTTCTCTATAAAAAAGGGTGGGGGGGAGGGGTGTCCCTATCTTGAGCATTTGGTTTCAAACAGGAATCTCCTGATTGTTTATTTTCTAGATTGCCAAGTTAGATTACTATCTATTTTGTCATCTGTTTAAAAAATATAGGTGTGGGACTGCCTCTTGGTAAAATTATCAGGAAGAACTGCCTCTTCAAGATCAAGTAACTCACTTGCTAATTGCTTTTGCCAGCAAATGGCGGTGGCATGGGCTGGAATAATACCAGAGACATTCAGAAACTGTAGCTTACTTTTGAATCGTCAGACTTTAAAGATGGAGCTGTTCCTAGAGGGTATTATGTTTAGAGAAAAAACAAATTATGCTTATTTGACAGAGAGAGATCACAAGTAGGTAGAGAGGCAGGCAGAGAGAGAGGAGGAAGCAGGCTCCCTGCTGAGCAGAGAGCCTGGTGTGGGGCTTGATCCCAGGACCCTGAGACCATAAGTCAATCAGAGAAAGTCAACTATCATATGATCTCCCCGATATGAGGAAGTGGAGATGCAACGTGGGGGAGTTGGTGGGGTAGGAAAAGAATAAATGAAACAAGATGGGATTGGGAGGGAGACAAACCATAAGTGACTCTTAATCTCACAAAACAAACTGAGGGTCATGGGGGCGGGGCGAGTATGGAGAGGGGGGTGGGTTTATGGACATTGGGGAAGGTGTGTGCTATGGTGAGTGCTGTGAAGTGTGGAAACCTGGCGATTCGCAGACCTGTACCCCTGGGGCTAATAATACATTATATGTTTATAAAAAATTTTTAAAAATTAAATAATAATAATAAAAAAAAAAAGATAGAGCTGTTCCTAAACAGGGACACAGAAATGCAAGAGAAGAAACTTCCACAAACATACAAGATTGCCCTTTATGTTTTCCCACAAGAATTACAGTATATAACAATTAATATTAAGGAATCTACATATTCTGAAGATTGTTCTTCCAAGAATGAGGAAGTACATAAAAATTGCATTACATTAAGGTACTACACACTTTCTTGTTTATTGACAAAATGCCTGGGATCCTTATTTAACACATAGAATTTAAAATACATTCTTGCCATTTTGTCGTGTCTTAGATTCTTGGGAGCTATAACAGAGGAAATTTAAGCACTGAAAAATTTGTGGAAGAAATCAAATCAATTGCAAGTGAACCCACCGAGAAGCATTTCTTCAACGTCTCTGATGAATTGGCCCTAGTTACCATTGTGGAAGCTCTGGGAGAAAGAATATTTGCCTTGGAAGGTATGACTAGTTCTTATAATCCTGCATGTTCTCTCTACAGGGTAAACTCAGTGTAATGGGGTTTTAGTATTTATTCCTACTACTATAGGCTCATGCACTTTTCCTGTGTCGAATAGCCAGCATGGGATAGTGCCTTTTATGTAAATCTTTCCCCGAGATGGCTATCTCACATAGCACGTGTCTGTCGGGAGCTCTCTTTGTAAGGATGTGCGGGCTGAAGGAAGGCGATGGTCAGTGTAGACTGACCAGAACAAAAATGTGCCTGCATGTGTTAGTCCTTTTCTGGGACACAGGCTTAAAAAATGGAGGCACTAGCTCAAGTTTTCTTTTTTCATATGTTTGTGTTATTTTGGGCTTCTGTGGAACTGTTCTTGTTTGCAGTAACTTCGTTGTTCATTTATTTTCTCCTGTTTTGCTTCTTGCCTACTTTAAAGGTCTTTATGGAACTCTCTTTCAACTCCCACAACAGTAAAACATTGCTTCACTATATTTGTCTAAGTCATAATTCTTTTTTGTAGATTTTTTTCTTTGATTTTGCAATGACGATTGGCTACTGAGGATAATGAGTCATGGCATTCCTTCCTCTGCCTTCGGTAGATGTCAAGTAACAAATTACTTTGAAACTAGCCTTTGCCTGACCAAAAAAAAAAAAAAAAGTCTGGAATTGTTATGCCGGGAAAACTGGAAAAAAAAAAAAGCCTCTTTTTCATATTCTCTGATAAGTGGAGCCTAAAAGAACATGCTTCTTTCCCTTTTTCCAGAGAGTTCTACTCTTATGCCTCATCCAAATTCAATGGACCCTGTCCTTGTGAGGACACATGGAACTACTGTTGTTTTCATCTTAAACACAGAAATTCAAAACCACATTGTCAGTCATCCTGATATGACCTGATAATGGGGAACAGAAAGATAAAATGAGAAAGACATAAGTAAAACAAGGTAGACCACTTTGACTGAGCATCAAATGACCAGGAAAATGCAAATAACTGACCAATGACAGAATATTAAAATGTATAGAAAGGAAAGAGTCACAAGGCATAATGTATTTATTATCATGGGTCACTAAAGGGGAGTAAAGTAGGCCACCACCAACTATGTCACTTTAACACGTAGGTTATTTTGAGCTGAAGATAATCAAGACCCAGCGGACTCGGGAAAAACTTTAACCTCTTCCTTTACTACCTAAAAGAATTTACACAAGTGCCCTGGCTCAGAAAAAGAGCTATAACCAAGGACAACTTTTTACTTGGAAAGACCTAACTGCGTGGCAGGGCAAACTTCTAATTACTAAACATCTGTGCTTCTTATGTCCTGTGAACTGCCCTCCTCCCTTTGAGGTCCCCTGGTACCTATCCCAGTCCTTAGGTCAGGAGGGCATATAAGTGTCAATTGCCCCCACTTACCCTTCCATCTCATATTTTGGGGGGGTCCCGTATGAAAATAAATTTATTTTTGTCCGGCTAGTCTGTTTTAGGTCAAGTTAATTATTAAACCAGCCAAGGAACCTGGAAGGGAGGAAGGGAAAATGTTTCCACTTCTGCATGACCTAGTGCACATACATATAAGTAGAAAAATAAAACAAAATTTCACAAAATCACTCTTATTATATACAAAGCACTCTGATAGTTTCTCATTTTCATTTTCTCTTCTCTTTCAATTAAAAAAATGCTGGTGATGACTCACCCTGCTGATTTCGTGACTGGAACATGACCCATAAGTGACAGATTTGGTTTAGATTTGATGAGCAGCTACAGCCCATGCAGATTTCATTTCTCTGCTTCCCTTTTGCCCTGGCTGCTTTTCTCCTGTACCCTTGGAAACAGAGCACTGGAATTACTTATCCATCTGAAGTCGCAGCTGCTTTTAAATAACTTGGCTGTCCTGCGTTCTTTGCACAAGTCACTTTTAAGTGGCTTTGGTCTCACAGTAGCTATCCCAGTGTCATTTACTAATAGGCCAGACCATAAGCTCTGCTGGTCTCAGGGACATATACAAAGTTTTCCAAATCATTGTGTTCTTTTAATTTTTAATAATGTGATCTGATAAGTCAATAATGTGATACATGATAGGAAAGAAACAATCCATAAAGACTATTTAAATGAAAATGATTTAGTTACATTAGATAGTTAAGCATAATACAGTTTCAATTTTAAACCTCATCTTAAGTAAGCAAATAAATATAACCTTACAGAACTTGTAGAAATGAAGCCTACATCAGCAGTTGTGGGAAGAGGAGCCCAATTTGCCTTAAATTACATTTTTGTGTTGCTTCTAAACTAACCACAACATGAGTTAAAATTACATGCTGGAATGCCCGGAAACTGTAAGAAGTCTGTATATTTAAAAGCAAAATTATTTTTTAAATGCCCTCAGATTAAAATGTCTCCCACATCTTTATTGCTGCACTTTCAGGCCTAACCAAATGCAGTGTTTTGACTAGCCTGTTTAGGATTTTCTTCATAATGACAGCAGAAAGGATTTCAGTTCCTTGTTACTTGAGAAGTGTCCACTTCCTATCAGCATTTATCTTTAGATGGTAAATAGCAGTGATTATTAAATTCCTGCTTGCCACAGACAGCGCCACCTAGTGATGAGAACAGGCCACCAACCTGACCAATCAAAATCAGAAAATAGTCTCTCTCCCTTTCCCAGCAAATGTTGGGGAAATTGCTGAAATTCCTAAGCACATGCTGAGCAGTGGGGAGAGTGGTTATCTCAGTACTCATGAACAGTCCTGGGAGGAGTTGACAGCAAGAAGTTCAGAGATGTGCAAGGTGCTATTACCATGAGGACAGTTCAGCAGGCAAAATGTCACACAGCTCCCTTCTCTCTGTTCTCAGCTTTAAGCAGAACAGCATCAGGAGAAGGTACTGGAAATATGCAGGTGTTTGCTGCTGCTCTCTTGCATTTGGCTTTGCGAGATAAATAAAAAGACACCATAAAGCATTGTGGACTTAAAAACTTAAAATGCCCTTCAGTCATTTAAATTAGAGGATAATTCATACATGAAATTAAAATGATACATTTGAATTCTAGATTGATATCCCCATTTAACCTAGTCCTAAAAAAAGGCAATCACTGATGTATTTGTTAACAGATTTATGACAGCAGATAGCGAGTAAATAAGTTTGATTTTACAAATTTAATTATTCTCATGCCTCAATGAAAAGGCAGACTGGCTGTTAAAATTATGCACTATTTTTAACTTATTTGCAAAGCCAAATAAATCAGTAACTCCCTACTAAAAGTAAATGAATCAACATTCCCGCAATCCCCTTAGGAGGTTGTGGCTTTGGGTTGGTGAATATTTTGAGAGTAGCACATTTTCCATGGAATGCTCTGATTATCTCTGTATCTCAATAAAGAGCCTAAAAATGGGTATAGAATCTTCCCCATAGAAATCCTCATTAAAAACTTTTCAGATTCAGGGAGCTCTTAGAAAGCTAAAAAGATCTAATGCTTGCTACTGAACCTCATACAGACCATTGACTAAAAAAAAAAAAGGGTACTGACTCTTAAAAAAAAATATGTGATTGTACAGCATGTAGCCTAGAGCTCATCAAAAACTTCCTCCCAATTTGTGACTGATATCTACCACCAGAATTTAGAGCAAATACAAACCCAGAACTCTTCACCCTTTATCAAATAAAGGAATTCTAAGAGGATTTGTTGCTGGAAATACAGGTGGGGCTGGTAGTCAAGAGATCTCTTTAGATATGTGAATAAAATTATTTCAGCCCAGTAACACAGCAGGTGAGTTTAGCCTAATGTCCGAGCAGGATCCCCTTAGTGTGAGGGACAGACAGAGGTTTTCAACTTCAGTACTTTCAACTTTAACCCCCTGAGTCCAAAGTGCCTTATCATCCCCAGGCATCCACAGTGTAAGAACAGAAGCATGAATGGATTTTTCTCAACTTCTCCAGCAAGGGTGGGGAAGCCATCGGTCAAGAATTTAGACAGGGCCCTTCTGCTAACCTTCTCTGTCCTCCACGCAGCCCTACCTAGGAATTTTGGGTTGAGAAATGTGTGGCAGAACATACCCAGAAGATGTTGGAAGTTCTGGTTGGTAAAGAGCCTGGATTGTAATTGGCCTCTGTCTTCTTCAAATCAAGAGTATACTAACAGGTGTTTATCTTTCTGTTATAGCTACAGCTGACCAGTCAGCAGCTTCATTTGAAATGGAAATGTCTCAGACTGGCTTCAGTGCTCATTATTCACAGGTACATTGACCACTCAGCAGAAAACGAAGTATCTTTTTTTTTTTTTAAGGTTTCCACTTCCGAAAGCAATGCCCAGGCATCAGCGTTGTAAGTACAACTAGTAGTTTATGGCTTGAGCAGTTATTCCGACCGTGATGACGTTCCTAATCCAAATAGGAAAATGACATTTCACAAACTTACTAGGAAAACAAGTTATTTCACACAGTTCATTACACTGTACTAATAATTTTGAATAAAACATTTTGAAGTCTGCCTTATGTAATTATCCATCTGGCTAAAAAATAGTTGCTAATGATATGGAATGTATCTTTTTCTCAGTTTCAGTGTATTCAAAGATCTTACTAAAATTCCATGATCAAGACCTAGATTGTTTGGCACCTAGAATTAAGCAGACAGGCAAGATTAGGAAATATATCATTTGTGGTTGATGAAGAAAAATGCATCAGAGTCCATGCAAAGGAATATTGACATTTCAGTGGGCAAATTGTACTGTATAACTTAGGGCAAGTTACTTACTCTGTCAAGTTATTATCATGTTATTATGAAAATTATGAGTTAATTGTGTAAAGTACTTTGACTGGAACCTATCACATTGTTAATGCCGTGTTCTTACTATTTTGTTAAATATCACTTGTCTTCTCTATTTGGATATAAGGACTGGGTCATGCTTGGAGCAGTAGGAGCCTATGACTGGAATGGAACAGTCGTCATGCAGAAAGCTAATCAAATCATAATCCCCCAAAATACGACCTTTAACGTTGAGTCTACCAAAAAGAATGAGCCTCTTGCTTCTTATTTAGGTAAAGTTTGGATGTAATCGATAGAAAATTATTATGTTTTATTTTTGGTTTTGTTTTTATTTTATTTTTAGCATTATTTGCTTATATTTATATAGGCTTACTTATAATCACATAAGACATATCACTTCAAGATTTAGACATTTTATAGGACTCATGAAATTTCCAAAGCAGCCTTAGTTTCTGAGCAGTGGTCAGAATAATAGAACATGGAGGTCATGCTCTCTAAGAAAGTCTCTCTAGTACAGAAATGATTTAGGCTGATATGTGTACTTTTTGAGGTCTCCCTGTGTCTGGTATTCTCATTAATGTCAAGAAGAGCTTTGCACTTGGTGAATAAGAAATTATGATAAAAAAGAGAAACCTTGATTCAGCTAATAGCCTGAAGATCAGACTCCTATTTTCTCTGATATATCCTATATTATTGGTTTCTTTCTAAGGGTACTCATTTTGGGGAAAAAATGTTAATTTGTCTTGATATATAGCTTCTTCTTTAGTAGTTGTATTAAATCAGACAAATGTTGAGATGTAATACCATCTTGTTTTTCAAAGACTTGTCTGGAATAAGGAGGCGTATGTCTGGTATCACCTTGTTCTAGATCTGTACCTAGCTGCCTAGGAGATACCAGGGAACTAGTCTATCACTAAATGATCTCAGTAAACCATTAGGAAGGACTAGGATGAAAAAAATCCTCAGGGTATGATTTCCCAACTCATTACTCATTCAACAAATATTTGACCGGTACCTATTTTGCCCCAGGCATTGTTCTCAGTGCTGGGGGTGCAGTGGTAAAGAAAACAAATACATTTCACTGTTAGTATTTTACTATGTTAGCATTCCTCTCTGGGATCTTTCTATCCTGGAGACAACTCTTTTTCTCTCTCTATTCCAGTTTCTTTCTATTTTACAAGGATGGTAGGAGTGGGTCTTTACCGGTAGGTCCATACATCTCCCTATTCAAGGACACATCTTAAAACTGTAGAGGCAGGGGTGCCTGGGTGGCTCAGTGGGTTAAAGCCTCTCCCTTCGGCTCAGGTCATGATCCCAGGGTCCTGGGATCAAGCCCTTCATAGGGCTCTCTGCTCAGCAGGGAGCCTGCTTCCTCCTCTCTCTCTCTGCCTGCCTCTCTGCCTACTTGTGATTGCTCTGTCAAATAAATAAATAAAATCTTAAAAAAAAAAAACTGTAGAGGCAACAAGACTTAAGAAAAAATGAAAGGCCTGAGGGTTTAAGATAGTTAAAAATATGGCAGTAAGCAGCAAATATAATGTGAGTGCTCAAAACCCTTAACACATGTTGAACTGCATTCATGAAAGTCTAGTTTATTTCTCATAGAAGTCCTATTCCACTCTGCCCTGGTCAGACATTACACATTACAAAAGAAAATACCAAACTAGGTTGTGCTGATAAAAGATTATCTAAAGGATACCGACCTGGAGACAATTCCTTTCTGTCCTTCCCCACCCCCTACAAAATTTGAAGAAGTTGATGGTTAGAAACACTGTACACTGCATATTTTTTAAATATTTGGAGGATTGTGCTATAACATACAGAGGTTGGAATCAATATTCATATACACTAAAAGAAATCTTAATATATGGTAAACATCCAACTTTCCAAATTAAGATATTAAGAAAATAGAAAAATGAGGTCACCGCTCCCTATGACAGATCTGAACTAGAATCTAGGTCCCTTGATTCTTATTCCAGTGCTCATTTCAAATTTAAAACATTTACAAAATTACAGATATGGTATGAAGTCCACAGAAATGTGTGTGACATCTTAAGATGTTCACACATTGGGGCACCTGGGTGGTTCAGTCATTAAAGCGTCTGCTTGCAGCTGAGCCCCACATTGGGCTCCCTGCTCAGCAGAGAACCTGCTTCTCTCACTCCAGCTCCCCCGTGCTTGTGTTCCCTCTCTCTGTGTCAAATAAATAAATAAAATCTTAAAAAAAAAAAAAAAAAAAAAGAGGAAGAAGAAGAAGTTCATACATTTTGGGGCGACTGGGTGGCTCCATTTCTTAAGCATCTGACTCTTGGTTTCAACTCAGGTCATGATCTCACAGTTCTGGGAAGTCCGCTTCAGATTCTCCCTCCCGTTCCCCTCTTGCCCCTCCCGGCTCTCTCTAAAATAAATAAACTCTTTTTTAAAAAGCTCACACATTTTGAGGCGCCTGGGTGGCTCAGTCAGTTAAGCGTCTGCCTTTGGCTCAGGTCATGATCCCAGAGTCCTGGGATCGAGCCCCACATCGGGCTCTCTGCTCAGCAGGAAACCTGCTTTCCCCTCCCTCTCTCTGCCTCTCTGCTACTTGTGATCTCTGTCTCTCTCTGTCAAATAAATAAATAAAATCTTAAAAAAAAAAAACCTCACACATTTTAATAATACTATAGTTTTTTTGATATTCTGAATTATTGTTATGTGATAAAATTCCTTAAAACCAAATAGTCTTAAGAATCCTAAATCTATTATTCCCTGAAAGCTTAGATTCAAGTTTGCTTAAAGCAAGCTTAGAGAACTCAAGACTTAAAGATATCACTGTGAGCAAGAAAAAAACTAAGAAAACCTTCATTTGTAACCACAGTATTTATGACATATGATTCCTTTCTGCCCAGGAAAGGAAATTTGGGGGTATGTCGTCCACAATGTGCTTAGATGATTTTATATTTTAGAAACTATTTCATTAGCTTAATCACAAGTTAACACATTAAGATATTTTGCCAACATAAAGTTTAAGATAATAAGATTTCTTTTAAAGTAGAAAATCACCCAGAAAGGGGACAGGGAAGAAAAATAGCTTCATACCCCAAATATTATTCTAATTCTGAAATGGAGCTTTCAAAATGTCTGCTTGTGTGTGTTACAAATTAAGAAGAGTGAATGTGTTAGTCTGAAATCTGTGTGGATTGCAAGTTGTTAGGCTGTGGAAAATCTTATGGAGGAAACAAAGTGATGGGTAGATGCTCTATTACAAAAAAAAAAAAAAAAGAACAAAACAAAAAACCCTCATACTAATCAATAATGACCAGAAAAAAGTAGGAACAGAAACTGTTGAACTTCTCAGGGTATAGTCACTCACTTAACAAACCAGGAACTGCCTTAGGCCAATATGGAATTAGCAAGTGATTTTGATGGTGAGAACACCACCGAAATCTCATTCCCTGCCTCCACCCACGGTCTGCCCCTTTCTAATCATGCCAGACAAATTCAAGAGAAAAAGTAAAGATATGAGGCAAATGCACGAAATCAAAGCAGAACTATACCTGTTTCCCATTACCTCACCAGCTCCGAGCACTTTTCCCAAGGAGTGAATTATGAGAGCTGACAGGATCTATTTTTATCTTTATATCTTTATTTTTTATCTTTATAAATCCATGCATCAGGCTGTGCTATGAATTTTCCTTTCTCTTCAATTTTGTACTTTTTTTTTCTTCATAAAGCAACATTAAACTTAGATGTTTATACTTATTTTCCTTTCAAGAAAATTAAACTTCACATAGCCTTCTTTCTCTCTCCCTCCTTGTCTTTAGACACCTGAGTTTCCATCAGTAGCCACCTAACCAGTAGATACTGTCCTTGTGCCGACTTCAGTTAATAGATGTACCTATCAAGTGCAAATTATCAAACTTAATTAAGCAAATAGTCACACAACCCCAAGCCTCAAACAAAATTTTTAACTTTTTTTTAAAGTTTCATTTATCAGTTGGCATTTATAGCTCTGTAAATGAAAAAAAAAAAATCAAAGTATACTAACACTCTTAGGCCAATCCTTTCTTAATATTTCTTAGTAGAGTGACATGAAATAAAACAGCTTTTGTTTTGCACATTCTTCTTTTCTATTTTATTTATGTATAAACATGACCTTAAAGTTTTTATTTTTAAGCAATATTGTGGTTAGTAATGTAAGTACTTGTTTAGTAACATTTCTTGTTTAAAAAAGAATGGTTTACAATTTATTATGTATAATTTTTTTAGGAGCTCAAAGAAAGATGAAGAAATGAGAATGTAAGAAACATATTCATGAAGGAAAAATGCCTGAGGAATGTGTTTCTTTAGTACTTGTGAGATTAAACATGTTTTAGTATAAAAAACCTTTGAAACTATTACCCTATAGTAAAACACTTGGAAAATAAATTTTCCATATAATCCTTTTCTTAGTAAGAAATACTATTCTGTGGAATTTGGAAAAATAATCTGCCCTCTGCTCCTCTGTTGATGGGCAGATCTGGTTATTAGAACATTTCTTCCTTCTGTAGAGTTGAAATGTTCACAGGGTAATTTTTATTATTGATTTATCTCTGTTCTCAATAGACACAAAGAATAAATTTAATTCTTCACTCAAAAATTAATAATAATCGGCGTCAAAGACACACAAAAAGTGAAAGCTCAGTTAAAAAGAAGAATGTCAGGGGCGCCTGGGTGGCTCAGTGGGTTAAGCCTCTGCCTTTGGCTCAGGTCATGATCTCAGGGTCCTGGGATCGAGTCCCGCATCGGGCTCTCTGCTCCACAGAGAACCCGCTTCCTCCTCTATCTCTCTCTCTGCCTGCCTCTCTGCCTACTTGTGATCTCTCTCTGTGAAATAAATAAATAAAATCTTAAAAAAAAAAAAAAAGAAGAATGTCAAAGCTCACTTTTTAAATTTAAATTCCAGTTAGTTAACAAACAGTGTAATATTAGTTTCAGGTGCACAAATAGTGATTGAGCATTTCCATACATCACCCAGTGCTCATCACAGCAGGTGCGTGCCTTAATCCCCATCACCTATTTCAGCCATCCCCCATCCACCTCCTTTTAATCAAACAAATGCAAATTAAAATCACAGCAAAGTATTATTGTTAGATTATGCTCAACATCTATTAGAACATTCACAAATTTAATTAATAGTATTGAGACCTAAGGTTTGGAGGGGAATTGATAAAACTAGTCTGTACTTTGGCTGTTCATGGAGTAAATTAGTGCAAATGTTCTGGAAAAAATTTGCCAGACACTGAAAGAATTGAAAATTTGATTCAGTAATCTATTCCTTGAAATTTATCACCAAAAAATCCAAAAGAAAAAAAAATAAATGTTCAAGGATGCTTTTGCATAATATCAAAAAATTAAAAACCACCTAAAAATTCTACCATTTCCTACTAGGTAGGAGTGGTCCTGTGGTAGAAAGGTAATCCCTTGATACCTTAACTCAGAGAAATAAACATCAACAACTTAAAATTACTACTTAAAAATCTACCACAGCAGGGGTACATGGGTGGTTCAGTCGGTTAAATATCTCACTCTTGATTTCAGCTCAGGTCGTGATCTCAGAGTCCTGAGATAGAGCCTTGCCTGAGGTTCTGCAATGGCCATGGAGCCCGCTTAAGATTCTCTCCCTCTCCTTCTGCTTCTCCCTCCACCTCCCTCGTGCGCACATGCATACACACACTCTCTCTTTAAAAAACAAATAAATAAAAAGAAATAAAAATTTACAGCAGCAACACAGAAAAGGCTTACATTTGCTATGATTCCAAATGCATAAAATTACTAATTTTGTAAAATAAATAATACATAAAATAATAAAATAAAATTAATAATTATTATAATTATTAGGTTCTATAAAATATGTCCAGGTAAAGTACAACTGATTTATTACAAAGTGGTGAATTGGGATTATGAGGGATTTTTTGTGGAGTTTTTTTTCTTCTTCTGTCATCATTGTTATATCATTTGTGCCTTTAAACAATGAAAAACCGAGGTTGGGGGGTGGACAAAGCAGTCACAGTAGATAATCAGAGAGCATGCTAAAAGCTTCTACAGAGACAAACTTCCCTTCACTAAAAAATAAATATTTTCAAAAAAAGAGAAATCTATATAAACATATAAAAATGATTCTCCCAGCCATTTAAAGTGGATCTTAATTTATTCTGTGCAGACTTTAAGGGGTCAAATAGTATATCTGATATCTGGCATCTCTCTTTTGTCAGGTTACACAGTGAGCTCCGCAACTGTTTCTGGAGATGTGCTGTACATTGCCGGACAGCCAAGGTACAATCATACGGGCCAGGTTGTCATCTACAGGATGGAAAATGGAGACATCAAGATTCTCCAGACACTCAGTGGAGAACAGGTAAACGTGAAAATTATTGTTTTAATTTAATCCGTGTATACTCTATGTAAATTTAAGTTAACCCTCAATTGTCCTAAACTTTAAAAAAGAGAAAGTACTGGGACGCTTGGATGGCTCAGTCAGTTGAGCACTTATCTTCAGGTCAGGTCATGATCCCAGAGTCCTAGGATCCAGGCCCACGCCAGGCTCCCTGCTCAGCGGGGAGTCTGCTTCTCCCTCTTCCTCTGCTGTTCCTCCTGGTTGTGCTCTCTCTCTCTCTATCAAATAAATAAATAAAATCTTTAAAAAAGAAAAAATACTTTCATAGTCAACATCAACCTTAAACAGGGCCCAGTGTTAACTTCCTTGCAGAGATTAAAATACCTATATCTTTGGCCTCAGGACCAAATCAGTTGCATGGATATGGAGGTAACATGGATGGATGATGATGTAGATACAGGTGTAAAATATATACATATAAGGAAAAAGATCTAAAACATTAAGAAGCAGGAAAATGCCAATGGCATAGACAGTAAATGCAGAAGGTGGAAAAATTGTTTCAAGCTAGGATTGGTGCCAAAGTCTTAATATGAGATAAGATTTGTGCTAGTCTAGAAGGAAAGATAGACTGTAGATAGGTAGAAAGAGCAGAAGAGCCAGTTAAAAAGATAACTCAGACCCCAGCTGTGTGATATTTGAATGGCAAACTAAAGAATTTGGATTTTCTCCTGGAAGTAATGGGAAGTTATGTAAAATTAAAAAATTCTCATTAGATGATATTGAATAATAAAAGTAGTTTGAGAAATTATACATCCAATATGCAAACATAAATATATGTAAATATTTTTTAACTGAAACATCTATGCTGTTGGTTAGTGTTGCATTACAGTCATTTGGGCTTCACCAAATATCCCAGCTCACAGGACTGCCCCTATACCCTCCTCCCATCACCAACTACTCCACAAGGCAGGGCAGCAACAGCCTTCCTCACCTGCAGGTCTACCCATAGCTGCCCAGTGCAGAACAGCTTCGGTGAGAGGAGACAGACACATCAGGCAAGGACAGAGCTGTCCTCTCTTTAATCTTTCATAATGACACCATAGACATATGGTCAATATCTTTCATAATGACACCATAGACATAGCTGCCAGGGCTTCTGCTAAGGGCGTGCGGTTGTCAGAGTCATCCTGAGAAGCCCAACCTATGTTAGCTCCATCAGGTATCTGTAAATCCCCACAGCCTAAATGCAATGTCCCAACCAGAGATTATTTTTACCACTTTCAATATTGCTTCATAATACAATTGAACTCCTTTCCCCCACAGATGTCCAGGAGAACAGAGTTAGAGTGAACCAAAAGTAAGAGCCTCATATATAAAATTCTCATTTGTATAAAATAATAAAACTTGGTGAAAGGGTTTTGTTAACCATTTGCCCACATTCATAATCAGAAAGTGCATCAACAATCTAAAAAAGGCTAAGGTGAGGAGAGCCTATAATGATGTATCACCAATAAAAACGGAAAAGGAAGGAGTGTAGTAGACATAAATAAGGAGGAACTGACAGGGTTGTAAAATGAAGCATTTTGTATGACATTTTGGGTCTGATATCACTCTGTTAATTGTCTACAAGACAGGAAGTGAAAATTTTCTGAAAAATTGCTCATGAAAGTTAATGATTTAAATTATAAATGATTTAAGTTTCAAGCCTGGGAATCTGAGAGAAAGGTGGCACCATTATTAGAATGTCAGCAACTCAAGCAGTGTAGATACGTTTTTTAAATGGTATTTGGTTTTACAATTTCCTGTAACAGTGAGCTCAAATTCAAATCATTATGGGTGTCAGGAACATAAAGTAAATAAATAAAGCTACTACACAGAAGACGGCAGGAAGTGGTGGGAACCATGGACTGGACAGCTCATGAGCCATCTAAACATTTAGCTCCTACTCAGCTCCAGATGGCTATTGTCATGGGGGAATGAAGCCCCGAGGTTGCTAGATCTTACAGTATTTTATTTGTGTTTGTAATTAATCCAACTTTAGGGGGAAAAAAAAAACCTTTTAAATCCTTTATAACCTATGAGGAGAGGACATTCAAAAGCCAACATCTAGCAGTTGTCTGAGTGTCTAGCAATGTCTAAGAATGAAGAACTGGAGCCTTGAGAGGAAGATAGAATGAAATTTGCAATTTTCAGTAATAGAAATGTTTGGAAGGATTGGCCATCTAGAAAAGAGAATGGGGGAAGTGCAGATCTTAGCTTAGGGGACACCAAAACCTGGGGCACGGGAGGAGGAAAAGGAACCTGCAAAGATGAAAATAAAGGGTGGCCTGTGATATTATGGCAGAATCAAGAGAGCAAAATTAAAATCATGGAAGCCAAAACAGGAAGTTTCAATAAGACAGTTATCAAGAGCATCAAATATTAACACAGATCAAAATTTGGAAAGGTTATTGCATTTAGATAATGAAGTGTAAGTCTCCCGCATTTCTCTAAAATATATCCATATCTTTAAAAAACAAAACGTTGCTGCAAGGGTATGGTCCCCCTGCAATCCTTTTATATTTTTCTATCTTCCACAAGTGCTAGGACAAGACTTAGCCTTTTGTTGAGTAAACAATTTTTTTTAAATGTTTATTTATTTGAGAGAGAGAGAAAGAGAGAGCATTGTGGTGGAAAAGGAGAGGGAGAGAGAGAGAGAAGCAGGCTCCCCAATGAGCAGGGAGCCCAATGCAGAGCTCGATCCCAGGACCCTGAGATTGTGACCTGAGCTGAAGGCAGAGGCTTAACCGACTGAGCCACTCATCTTTTTTTTTTTTTAATTTAGATTCAATCAGCCAATTTATAGCACATCATTAGTTCAATAATTTATCAGGTGCATGAGTAAACAATCTTATAAGTCTCCAAGGTGAAATTCCTTGCACTAGTATCCCAAGACAAATCAGTTCTTCCTATTGTAGTTTATTTCATATTTTTCATACATATATACATATATGTATCTATTTCATAAATACATACAAATACATGTATTATACATATAAACATTATATTGAAGCCATCCCAGAATACCTTTTATTGTTTAAACTCATTTTATTTCCTTAAAAAAATCATGGTGGCATCACTTATCTTTTCTACTTTTTGGGAAAAAAAGAAATGCTAGGATGAAATCTAAAGGAAGCCATTTTTCTCACACTGAGGTTGCATAATCTACGACAGCTGTTCACCCTCAAGGGTGGGTCTGCCTGTTTACTAGCCCCCCCAAAAAAGCCAATAAAGAGCTCTCAGGTAGAGTCCATTTCTATATTTTATTTTTATTTCCATGTCTGTCTGAATCTCAAATGCTCTCCTATATTAGGATAAGTAAAAGAAGTGCAGGCTTTTAGCTATCTTGAGAATTTCCAATGTTCATCAGACTATTTTGTTTTGTTTTGTACCCTAGATTGGTTCCTACTTCGGCAGTGTTTTAACGACAGTTGACATTGATAAAGATTCTAATACCGACATTCTTCTGGTTGGAGCTCCCATGTACATGGGAACAGAGAAAGAGGAACAAGGGAAAGTATATGTGTACGCTCTGAATCAGGTAATGGTAGCTCTGAGTTTGGTAGAATTTCAGGAATAGCTCTTCCTTTCTTCCCATTTCAAATAAGTAACGCAGTTCCAATTTTGTGCTCACTTTGGAAAAAGGAGCAAAGAATTTTTCAGGGCCTCTTTACCCCCACCAACTCCTCAGTTTTTTAATGAACATTTTAGAATTCTAGTAAGGTAGTTCAAACCGTTCGATGTTTTCTACTTGGAGATGTGAGCTATTCTTTTTTAGCAGAAAATATAAAATAAAGATAAGTTTCATTAAACTGCTAAATAAACTCACAGGGCAGCCCTTTATCGCTCCGGCCTGGAGGTGTTGGGAACATTAACAGTTAAAACTGCATTAGGGGGGCTGCCTGGGTGGCTCAGTGGGTTAAGCCTCTGCCTTCAGCTCAGGTCATGATCTCAGGGTCCTGGGATCGAGTCCCGCATCAGGCTCTCTGCTGGGCAAGGAGCCTGCTTCCTCCTTCCTCTCTCTCTCTCTGCTTGCCTCTCTGCCTACTTGTGATCTCTCTCTGTCAAATAAATAAAGTCTTAAAAAAAAAATTCATTAGGTACATAAGAGACTCTTAATCTCTCAAAACAAACTGAGGGTTGCTGGAGGGAGTTGGGTAGGAAGAGGGTGGTTGGGTTATGGACACTGGGGAGGGTATGTGCTATGGTGAGTGCTGTGAAGGGTGTAAGCCTGATGATTCACAGACCTGTACCCCTGCAGCAAATAATACATTATATGTTAATAAAAAATTAAAAATTAAAAAAAAACAGCATTAGCTGTCAAAACAAAGTAGGGGAAGCAGAGAGACTATGGAGTTGTGTGTTTTAAGGCCGTGACACCAGTTTCAGCAAAATTCTATGGTCTTTGGAATACTTTAGTGGGCTGGAGTGAGATTTTGTTTGCCACTCCTGAGTTTAGACATCACATGTTAGGTGAAATAATTCTTGATTTCTTCATTAGAAGAGTTTTTTGTTTTGTTGTCTATAGCAAAGTCAGCATTCATCTATTTAGCTTTTTAAATTCTTAGAGTCTCTCCAACTAATTTTTTAATTCATAAATTATATATCTTTCATCCTATCATTTTGTTTGCTTCCTCTCATCAATTTTTTTGGTCCTGTGCTGTTTTTTTCCTTTTTTCCTAGAACCTGTGTTCCTGTCCATCACTACTGGCCCTGTCTTTACTGAGTTTGTTGGGCTTTTTGTTTTTTTGTGCTTTTTTTGCTCTAGATAGCTTTGGGAAAAAATTTGGGTTTTGGATAGAGTAATTTCCCTTTTGCCCTATAAAGGAGACTATATAGAGACTTTTCAAAGAAGCAGATTTGGGATGAAGGAAGGATAAAGACTTGAACTAAGGATTTTAAACATTCAGTTCTTTGGCTTTAAAAACATTCTGGGAGTCCTCTACTCACCCGGTTGCGTTAAAAAGAGAATCCATTATAATCCTCAGTATGCCTTCTTCCCCACTTCTACAGTCTGTTCTTTAAAATCTTTAACATGGCTCTCAGATAAGCACCCTTTTTAAGAAATTTTACAGACTTTCCTGTTGATGTACAAATGGTTTTTAACAGTGGTGATTTAGCATGTACTTAAAAATTTCACTGTGGGGGTGCCTGGGTGGCTCCGTGGGTTAAGCCTAGCCTTCAGCTCAGGTCATGATCCTGGTGTCCTGGGATGAGCCCTGCATCAGAGGTCTCTGCTCCGCAGGGAGCCTGCTTCCTCCTCCCTCTCTCTCTGCCTGCCTCTCTGCCTGCTTATGATCTCTCTGTCAAATAAATAAATAAAAATCTGTTAAAAAAAAAATTTCACTGTGCCATAGTAATGATAGAAATCCATAAGTATCCTGTGTATGTTTCTTCCAGACAAGGTTTGAATATCAAATGAGCCTGGAGCCCATTAGGCAGACTTGCTGCTCATCTCTGAAGCACAATTCATGCACAAAAGAAAACAAAAATGAGCCATGCGGGGCTCGTTTTGGAACAGCTGTCGTTGCAGTGAGAGACCTCAATCTTGATGGGTTTGATGACATTGTGATAGGAGCACCCCTGGAAGATGATCATGGGGGAGCCGTGTACATTTATCACGGGAGTGGCAAAACTATCAGGAAGGAGTACGCACAAGTAAGAAGTTAAACACACACATTCCCACCCTTAAGCGTTAAGTGGGTTCAATGCTAGGCTTGCTTCTTGTCTTGCTTCATGAGTTATTTGATTATTTTTTCTTCTGACTTTATTGGGAAACTAGATTTAATTCTCTTTTAAGGTTTCTTTACAGGAGCATTATTTTGTATTTTATCATGTTATCTAGTTTTGGTTTTTTGGGTCTTTTTTTTTTCTGTTGTTATTTGCCACGTCTCCATGATCTGAACTCTCAGAATAGTCAAACACGAACCCAAAAAATGAACACTTTTTAGCGATACGATTTAACAGTTGCAGTGTGCCTGATCCTAAAAAGAGGATACCACTTTCTGAATAAGAGAATAATAATGATATGATTTAGCGAATAAAGATGAGGTTATTGTTTTTATATTCAGTATCTGTGTTATAATGAAATTGCATAACATTTATGTTTATGAATTAAATTGGTATGTTTTTGTGAACCGAATTTGGATTCCTGAAGGTTTATAATTTCCTCACAAATAATCCCTCTTGGAAAAAAATCAGAATACCTAAGCTTAACTTGCAGGGGATTTTTGTTGTTCTGGTTTTAAATTTATTATCAGTTAATGGTTCTAATCCATAAATGCAATTTTTTCCTGCATAAGAAAAATACCAATTTGCAGAAGTATTTAATGCACTATAAAAGTAGGAGAGTTTAAAGGAATTCTTCTAATGTAATTGTCTGTTTTTAAGTTACCATAAGTAATTAAGCACTGAACTACTTATATAACATGAAAAGAAAATCAGAACATCAATTATTTCTCTTTTATAGTTGTTCTTTTTGTACTATAGTGAAGAGAATTCTCAAAATCCATTCAAGTGAAGTTGTACTTTATTTTTCATAAAGTCATAATGACATTAGTGAGACAATAAAGTAAAGGGCATATTTCAGTAACAAACTTCCATCCACTTAGTAAATTATCTGTCTTCAAAAAATTCAAAAGTCTTCATGGTATTACTTAACTGAAAACAGGCAATATTAACCATGGGAACATGACGGAAGGAGGAACTGCAGGGAGGCATTTCTTTCTTGTGTTCTGCCACTTTATTCCTTCACTATTAATCCTGAAAACGTACTGAAATGGTGTTTGCAGTAGAAAAAAATAGGATGTCTAAATCATTAATAAGAGGATAGATTGTCATAAGAAATTTATTTTGTAAAATGGTGGTTACTCAAAGTTCAGCTTTAAATAACAACAAAAAAGAATATTACAGCTGAGTTTGCTTAATTATTGGCAAAATGCTTTCCCAAGGATAGGTGAGGGTGTGCTTGCTTGTTTCCATAGTAACCAGAGGTGCTGTTTGTGTATGTGATAACCCAAAATCAAACTGAATGAGCTCCTCCAGGACCAATGAGGCAGATGTTTCTGGTTCGTTTGCTGAAAATAAGGAAATACTTCCCAGCAAACCTTTCAGCATGAAAAATGTTTCCATTTGGTTTGCCTTATATGCTTCTTAATTTATGGTTTTCAAGAAGACCTCAAGTTTAGGGAGGGTCTGTCAGTCCTGTCTCCTTGCCTTCAGGTTCTATTAAAGTATTATCAGTTTGAACCAAAGCTAAGTCAGGAAGTACGAATATTAAACACATTCTGTGCGGGTATGTGACAAATCAGTCATCAAGAACTCCACATTCATTTGTACCTATTGAGCTTATAGTACCCTTGACTTTTAGCAAAGAAGATCATATACTGGGAAATGTATTTGATGGCATGTGCTATTTACAGCTACCCCCCCCAAATTCAGTAAACCCCAAACTGACCCCTGTGACAAACTTCTGCTCCTTCTCTTGCATGTGTGATGTGTTTTCAAGTTTCCAGTATCTTTAAATATCTCTGCATTATGGGACTGAGTGGGAACTAGAAAGGAGAGCCAGTTACTCACAATGTTTTCCTTGAGCATTAGACAAGATGACGTTATAAAATTTTTTTCCCCTCTCTCTGGTGTCAGTAACCCTGGATTATTTTGTCTGCACTATAAAAAGAATAACCTTTGGTAACAACTGAGTAATTCAGCTTGTCACCACATGAGGGGCTTCTTAGGCGGGTTTCCAAAAGATCTTTAATTTTCATTTTTTGTTACCCAATCCAAGTTCTCAGATTTATTTGAAACTGTTTTTGAAGAGACACTTCTGGCATAAAAACTCTCTGTTGGCACTTTCACAGCGTATTCCATCAGGTGGAGACGGCAAGACACTAAAATTTTTTGGCCAGTCTATCCATGGAGAAATGGATTTAAATGGCGATGGTCTGACTGATGTGACTATTGGGGGCCTTGGTGGTGCTGCCCTCTTCTGGTATGTATTTTAATAACATCCAATTCATCAGATAATACTTCACAAATAGCTACATAGCTCAGAGTATGATTGGACCTCCTGTCATACCAAATACCTGTTTTCTTTTGTACCCCATTATTTAGATCAAAGTTATGTAGTTAAAGAAGCTGAAGGAGTCATCAAATCTTAAATGGAGAAACCATATTAAAGGAACAAGTAGAACCACCTCTTAATTTGGGGTATTTATTATGTGCTTGGTGCTAAGGTAGATATTCTGTTTTAGGCGGCAGCATAGGAAAGAAGAGGGCTTCATAGAGAATTATATAAACAAGGAAACATGGCTAACTTTGAGCAGTTCACAAACTTTTTAAAGATTTTATTTATTTATTTGACAGACAGAGATCACAAGTAGGCAGAGAGGCAGGCAGAGAGAGAGAGAAACAGGCTCCCCACTGAGCAGAGATTCCCATGCAGGGCTTGATCCCAGGGTCCTGGGTCCTGGGATCATGACCTGAGCTGAAGGCAGAGGCTTTAACCCACTGAGCCACCCAGGCGCCCCAGAGTAGTTCACAAACTTTTTAGGGTAATTGACTCTTTACTCATTTACCTAATATGTATAATTAGATAATTGTGCATCATTGTCTGTGTTTTTATTATAAATGTGTATATATATAACATATGCAATATATATTATATATATATATATAATATTTTTACCATACCATACATAGATGGTAACTGCACTTATTGTGGTGAGCATAGCATAATGAATAAAATTATTGAATCACTATGTTACAAACCTGAAACTAATATAATATTATATACTCTAGTTCAACTTTAAAATTTGAAAAAAAATTCTAACTAAAAATAGAGATAATGTTTAAAAACTTATGGTCAAATAAAAATTGTACACTAAACTATACACAGATAATAACCATTATGTTAAAAATGTCTTAATTGTACAGTAGGGGGAAAAGAAAACTGTAAGGTGGTGCCTAAGAAAGGAGAGTGCTGGACAGCAAGGAGCTATGACTTTGGGGAGGGCTCACCCAGAAGCAGGGCTCCAAACCCGAAGTCACCAGTGTCAGCAACAAAGGATACAGTTTAAACTGTTAATCCTGGATTAATGTATTATGATAACCTTAACTCAAAAAATATTTAGTTTAGTGACTCTCCTATTAAAAATATATACATTATGGGGCACCTGGGTGGCTCAATGGGTTAAAGCCTCTGCCTTCAGCTTAGGTCATGATCCCAGGGTCCTGGGATCGAGCCCCGCATCGGGCTCTCTGCTCAGCTGGGAGCCCGCCTCCCCCTCTCTCTCTGCCTGCCTCTCTGCCTACTTGTGATCTCTGTCAAATAAATTTTTAAATCTTTAAAATATATATATGTGTATATATATATATACACACTATAAAATATATATATATTTAAAAATCTTTAAAATAGTGTATATATATTACATACTTTATATATATACAGATATATATATATAATATATATACACACACACACACACACACACACACACACACATTATAAGGGCAATTTTTACTCTCCAGTTTTGTTTCAAAGATTTCTTAAAAAGCTCTGAAGACTTATCCTCTTTTACCCCCAGTCAGTGCTTTATCACTGATGGGCCAAAATGGCAGAGTTGTACCCTGTGATTGCCCAGCAGAAGGGACCAGACCAACAGACAGGGGCACGAAGACCAAGATTTATGATGCCAAAGGAGGGACTGAGAGTGGATATAGGTGGCAGGCAATAAACAGAAGCCCACCCCAATCAGGGACTTTCAGGAGCAGATATGGAGAGCCCCATTTTGTGGAACAAATTGCACCATAACCCCTTTAAAGACATTGTTGGGGCAGAGGGATGTGTGGAGGAAAGTGGTCAAGGCAGCCTCATTCCTGAAGGATCCAAACTACTGAGCAGGGAATTAGACATGCTAGTTCATTGCTGGTGAAAGAGTAAACTGGTTAAAATGCATTAGAAGGTATTGCCAGTAAGTGTTAAAGAGCCTTAGAATATTCATACTTTTTAACAAGGAATTTGCTTCCTAAATTTTTAAAGATTTAATCTACATTGAAGGTATACAATCTTTAGAGTCATCACAGCACTGTGGTAGTAACTATTTTTAAAAAAAATAAATTAATGAAGGACTGAGTAAATAGATTACAACACATGCATATGTTGGAATAGTATATTGCCATTAAAACTAATGTTCCCAGAAAAATACAGATATTGGAAATCTGCTCATTATATTATGATGCTTTAAAAGTATGTATGGATGTATGTGCATGTGTGTATCTCTCTATACACACACACACATTTATACATATACAGATATATTCTTCTGCAGAGAAAAAGAAGCGCATCAAATATTAATGGTAATTATTGCTGAGTGGTAGATTTACAAGTGATTTCTGTTTTCTTTGTTTCCTTTTTTTATGTTTCCCTGTCTTCTATGGGTAAGATGTTTAAAATAAAAATAATTAGAATATTTTAATGCAAAAGGAAATCAAAGACTTATGTATTCACGAGATACGTATCCATAGTACCTGTACTTGTCTGTACAAGTATTACAGTGCACATGAGTTGTCCACGGGGCTTGGGACTCTTTCCAGATTGGGAACAAACTCAAAGATTCCCAAAATACGGTTTTGGTTCTGAGGTTGCACCTGAGCACGTGGTTCCATCTTCCTTCCGTCACAGGCAAAACAGATTTTTGACTTATGAACTGTAAGGAATGAAAAATAATTTTCCTTCTAGCCTTTTGAGCTCTTGGCTGACACCCCTGTAACAAAAGACAGATTAACAAGAGAAAAACAAGTTTATTAACACGCATACCCCGTGTGTACATGGGAGATACCCAGAGAAAAATGAGTAATTCTTTGAGGTGGCTTAGAATTCGGACTTAAATACCATCTTATTAGAGCAAGGGAAGAAGGTATGTAGGCCTCCCTGGGGAGAGAAAACACTGCACTCTGCTCATGCACATGTTCTCTCTCACTCTCACTCGCTCTCTCAAATAAATAAATAAAATTGTTAAAAATAATAAAAAATAAATCTTTTTAAAAAATCACCAAAGAAAGTGAATCCTGCGAGCCCAACTATACACAAAAAAGAATCCCCATCAGTGCTTTCGCACTGCACTCCCATAATGATGGCATTCATTAAATATGAAGATGGGGGAGTAATCGTCATTGTTTCTGTTTGTAGGTCCCGAGATGTGGCTGTAGTTAAAGTGACCATGAATTTTGAACCCAATAAAGTGAATATCCAAAAGAAAAACTGCCGTGTGGAAGGAAAGGAAACAGTATGCATAAATGCTACCGTGTGTTTCGATGTGAAATTAAAGTCCAAAGAAGACACAATTTTTGTAGCTGGTAAGTGTCTTATGTGTACCAAGTACTTTGGGGCAGGAGAACAATACATTTGCTCCCACATGATGACATCCACTAAGATACTGTATTTTCCCCGATGATGGGGATCTGCATATCAGATTTACCCCTGTGAACATGTTGAACCTTGAAAAAAAAATCTACTGAAGAGAGAATATGTTACAGAACCCAATAAAATCTGGAGCAGAAACTATATGCTTATATACAATGGTCTCCACAGTCCATGGTTCCCCTCTCTCTCCCATTTACCACAAACTACGAAGTGCTAAAAACAATAATAATAATACCAGTTCAGAAGTAGAGTTTGGACGTTGGGCTCCCTAGGAGCCCAGTTTTCCTTCCTGTGGGTTTTCACAAACCCTCTCTTTCTTCTCCTGCCCTCTCTTTACTAAGACTGCTATTGCAAAGGACGTGAATGCTTTGCAACCCCACTTTCTGAGCTCTCTTTACTCCACTCAGAACGTGATCCTGGTTTTTGAGCATCAGACATGTTGTGGGTGTGTGTTCTCAGGCACAGTCTAGGAATGTCCTCCTCCCTACACATACACTTCCTGAGGTATTTTTATAATGATATTGAAATATGTTGGAGTCAAAACTGTGGAGGTCATTGGCTGCAAATAGAATATGAAAAATCATTAATCCTTAAGATCTGTTTCTCTTAGTTTGCTCTTCATGTGCATAATTATGCTCTCCAATAGCCCTCTGACTAGTTTTAGGTATAGAAATATAAAATATGATTTACATTTCCACATACAGCATTATTTCAATCTCATTTATTTTTGTAAAATAAGCGATCAAATAAGTAGAATTATTGCCTTTTTAGAAAGTATAGGTTTAACTTGTTTTTTATTTTGGTACGCCTATTTTATGAAACTTCTTTGGTAAGCTTCTTTGATTACATGCTCTGAAGAGTCTGAAGTAACTTTTTCATAAAATATATAAGAATTCATTAGTGTATATTTTTCTGTCTATTGAAATAAAATCAATATTCTAAACAGGGCTTCAACATTGCTAAACTAAAAAAACAATTTAAGTGAAAACCCAATAAACACATGCATAATCAGAAATTTAGTTTCTATGTTGATGTACCTGTTGTATGAGTGTGTGGGTGTGCATATGTACACACACACACAGAGAGAAAGTAGTTCTGAAGGTTATCGTCATGACTGGGACTACCATTGTACTACAGGAGTGTAGGTAAGCTGAGTAATGGAAACTTTCTGTTGACTGTTTGCTCAAGAGATTTTTCTATAATGCTAACTTAATGAACTGAACCATATGAAAATCACCCCAGGCAAATATTTCTGTCATTTTATTTCCAGATATGCAGTACCGCGTCACACTAGATTCACTAAGACAAATATCACGAAGTTTTTTCTCTGGAACTCAAGAAAGAAAGATTCAAAGAAACATCACAGTTGAAGAATCAGAGTGCACTAAGCTGTCCTTCTACATGTTGGCAAGTAAATCATATGTTATAACTGCTTTATTCTAAATCAAGAATAAAGCATAAATGTCTTATTTCAAGCCAATCTTACGATTTTTATTTCAAAGTGCACATGATGAAGTAAACTTCATTTATTTGGTCACTTTATCAGAAAATCACAGGCCTGATCTTCTAATTTCCAGATGCATTTCATAAAACCATCTTTTGTCTTCCCTATGTGTGTGTTATCAGTCATCCATATATTATGGAACAGTAGAAGGCACATGGCACTAGTTGATAAGAAACCTGCATTCATTCATTCATTCATTCATTTTTTGCATTCATTCACTTATTCTTTCAAATTGAAAATACCATTTAACTTTTGTGGGCCTCACCTGTCAAATGTGTATTACATTTGATGTAAGTGCTTACATGCCCTGAGGAGAAACTGTTGGGCCATATGTTTTTTGGGGTCCTTTCTTGTCCATTGAACTATATGTTTCACTCTTTGACTTTAAATCGAAAAGAAAAAAATCTGCTATTTTCTATCATCCATAGGCTTTGTGCTACCTAAGTTTCTTTCTATTACACTAATAAGGGAGGCTTGCGAAGCAAATTATTAATCTCCAAAGATGGCTAGGAAGCCAGTTTGAACCATTTAAATACATTTTATTGAGTCATTATATAGAGAGAGAATGTTCCCAATGAGGGCGGGAGTTTTTTTTAACATTTTCTTATAATGCACATGATACCTAAAGAAAAAAAAAAGAGGGAAGAGTGGAGGTAATGACAAAATACTGATTTTAGTGACTGAGACAGACTTGAGATTTACACATGATCCTGGAACTTTACAGGAAAACAGGCTGATTTCCCCCCACATCTGATTTATTTCTATATTCTTGATGTATTCATATTCTATATTTTTTTAAATATTATAGTCAGGGAAGGAAAGTGACAGGAAACATCCCTATTAGTGTACTGTATTTTTCTTCAGTGATTTTCAAGTCAATATTCCCCATAGTATATATCAAAATTAACATATCTATCAACACTAAGATCAATCTATAATCAGAAAGAAAAAAAAACTGGAGTTATCCTCCTATTTACTTCATCAGAACTGAGCATTTAGGAATTAGAACTTGTATAAAATTTGAAAGGGTGTGAAACCAGACATGCCCCTGCCTTCAACCTGCTAGAAATCACTTAGTGTATATTTGTCTAAAATGTAGAATCTAGCTATGTGTAGGCACTTGGTAGTAAAAGGAATGATCTAGTTTCAAAATTTCTAAAATTCTTTTAGATTTTAATAGATACATTGACATTTGTTCTGGAGTCAGTCAGCCAGGATGGAATTTGTCTTAAAGCTTCCCCACATTCCAAGTGATTTTGACCAAGTTGTTAGCCTCTTAGAGGCCCAGGTTTTCATTTGTAAAATAATGACTATAATAGTCACTCATCTCGGAGGACTGTTGAAATACTTCTCAATAATGTGTGTAAAGCTCATAATCCCAGACATGCCATAAATGATGGCTGGTACTCATGATATTATAAAACAATATTGATTGCATTCATATCACTTACATATCATTTGACATTATAAAATTCTTGCAACTCGAGGCATATATTATACTAATGAAATTCAACTCAGTTTAAAGCAACTTTGCTCATTTGAGGTTGGAAGTATTACATGGCAGTTTTTAGCTCAAGATCTCAAGAGAAAAGATGTTACTATGAAAGGAGCCCAGGGTGGTATACGCTGCCATGGCAAACTATGGCACATCCTATTACTACAGCAGGACTGCTGAGAAGCCAGGTGACTCGACTGGTCATCCGGAAGCCTTTGCATTCAGCAGTGTCCCTTATCATGGTAGAAGGCAGTCTCTCTCCAATGAAGCAAAAACCTGATGACATCGTGTCTGATCAGGTGCACAAAAATGTTCCAGTAACCCTGACCTACAGGGGCAGAAGAAGGAAGCCATAACAAGGTCAGAACATGCAGCAAATATGATACCAATGATAAAATATGTTATGTTTCAATCTGTAGGACAAGCATGACTTTCGGGACTCTGTAAGGATAACTTTGGATTTTAATCTGACTGATCCAGAAAATGGGCCTGTTCTTGATGATTCCCTACCAAATTCAGTACATGAATATGTAAGTTGGATTTTTTTTTTTTTTAAATTCAGGATGCCTGCATGTGAACATATTGTGGGGGAAAAAAACCCTAAAACACATAGACCCACACATACAACCCTAACTCATTTTTTTAAAAAAAGAATGAGACTCTTCTAGACTTTTCTCAACTCTTCGGCTTCCTATTGTTGGAGGAACTTACAAATAGCACCTATTTTTATCTCCCCTAAATTTGGGACCAATTGAAAGAAGGACATGGGTTAGCCTACAGGAATTCCCTTTATTACTAATAAACACCGGGTTTGGTGTTTGTGGCTTAGGCATACTGGGTGTCCTCCTGCTGAACAAGGCTTAGACCACAGATAACCAAGTGCATCATCAGCAGTGCTCATCAATCTCAGGCCTCTTTCAAGGGGGCCCACCTCATAAAACTTGCAGAATGAAGATAGAGAGCAAGAATGTATGGCTCCCATGGGCACATGCTGCCCCAAGAGCAGAAGAGGTGGGAAGAGCTGTATTCACCCCGCTCCTGCTTCCAAATCCACAGAGTCCATTGTCTTGCCCCTGAGAAAGAGTGAGTGAGCAAGTAGAAAGATGGGGTGGCACTAGTGGAGCAAACGTTTGGGGTGGAGAATTCGTTTTCTCTACACCCGTATCTTTTGCTTTCACTTTCCTCCTTTCAAGAATAGTGATTGGGTGTCTTACATGTACCAAGCTTCAGAGTTTACAGTCTAACCTAGGAAACAGGTATTAGTTGGATTAAAGCATGTGGTCTGGAGGAGAATTTAATTGTTTGATGGGAACTTCTGCCTAAGCAGACAGAAGTTGTGACATTTAAGTTGAGACCTGAAGCCTAGGAGGATTTTCCATCCTATTCACAGGAGTGGAGGGAGCAGTGTTTTATGCACAGAAACATGTGTTAAAGGTCTGAGGCATAAAGGAACTGCACTAAAGTCTCTAATGTGGCTGAAGCTGAAGAGCGAGGTGGGAAGGTGACGTGGGATAGGGAGGGAGGCATAGGAAGGAGCCAGGTCATTCTGGGCTTTATGCTACTGCACAGATTATCTTGAAGCAATGGAATGCTGTTGGTAGTTTCAACTGTTTCAGTGATAGCACTGGATTTATATCTTTTTAAGGATTACTCCAGCTGCAACGTGGAGAGTGATTGGAGGAAGCATGGTTGGAACAAGAGTGGGTGCGGGAGACCACTTAGGAATCTGTTGCATTAGTTCAGGGAAGAATAAGGATGGCTACACTAGAGGTGACGGTGGCAATGGAGAGTTGGGAGATGCTTAGAAGAGAAGTAGAATGGAGAGCTCTTAGTGAAGGTTTAGGCAAGAGGGTGGGGCTTAATGGGAAGACGAGTCAAGGAAACTCTAGTTATGTGGCTTGACCATTTTTTACCTCTGAGCTCTATTACATTTCTAAGGCTTTTATTCTTTTCAATAGAAAATCTCATAACGGGGGTTGAGTGTTGAAGTGTTCTCTCGTAGATTTAGATCTTAGAGTACTTGACTTGATTTTTTTTTAAGATTTTATTTATTTATTTGACAGAAAGAGAGACCATAAGTAGGCAGAGAGGCAGGCAGAGAGAGAGGGGGAAGCAGGCTCCCCGCTGAGGAAAGAGCACGACGCAGGGCTCGATCCCAGGACCCCGAGATCATGACCCGAGCCGAAGGCATAGGCTCTAACCCACTGAGCCACCCTGGCGCCCCTTGACGTGATTTTTTTGAAACTATTCTACTCTGGCAGACTAAAGCCAGCAAAAAACATGTGTGAAAACTGTGCGTTCTCTAAAGGACTGAAAGAATTTATATTCAGAAGTTTATTATTTTTCCCTATAAATTATAGGAATAAACTTAAAATTCCTCATGACTTCTGCAGTGGAGTCTGTTCTCTTTATGAGCTGCTTAACTTAGTTTGGCAATATGTCACTTCACCAAGCAGGTAATAAGTAATTTTCAATCATGCTTAACTAAATGTTGAAAAACGCTTTCCTGTGACCATTTTCAGATTCCTTTCGCCAAAGACTGTGGAAACAAGGATAAATGTATCTCGGACCTCGCCCTGAAAGTATCCACCACAGAAAAGGACCTGCTTGTTGTCAGGTCTCATAACGATAAGTTCAATGTTAGTCTCACAGTCAAAAATAAAAAGGACAGTGCCTATAACACCAGAACCATAGTGCACTATTCTCCAAATCTAATTTTTTCAGGAATTGAGGTAAACTTTTAGTTTTATATTTGCTTATTCTTGTAATAATCATTTATTGAGCCGACTTTTCCTGCTACTGAACTAATTGTTTTTATTGAGTTTAGAAGAATAGAGAGCGTTTTGGACAAATTATTAGTACTCACTAATGGTGAAAGTATGAAATTTTTTTTAAAAAGTTTTTTTTTTGATGAATGTCTTTGGAGATCTATGACTTTTCTTAGATTCAGCATGAGGATAGGATCACTGATTTATCAAAATCATACATTTTGTAGAGGCATTACATAGCTGAAATTGAGACAAACTCAAAGAAAAATATAAACATAACAGAGTCAAGACAGTTGAACAGAGGTGCAGAGAAAGGAATGTATGTATGGAACAAAAAAATATTTACAAGAAAAAAAATCAAGATACCACTTCTCATTTTCTATGTAAAATCCTTACATTGGAAAAAGAGATGTTAAATCACAATGTGTCATTGTCATAACAGTTTTTTTTTTCATCTTGGCAATAACATACAGCTGCATAAGATGCTATATCAGCAATAATTAGTACTTCCACATTTGAATTTTGCTTTTAATTCTGATCTCTGAATGAATCCCCCTTATTTACAATTCTGTCTATATGTAATGAATTAGTAATATGTATGATTCACATTAAAAATTAGTAATATGTATGATTCACATTAAAAAAACATTTTTAATGTTTGTGTAAATTCAGTTTGTGTAAATTCAGACTTTCACTGATATTTCTCTCTATTTATTAGGATACCACTTAAGGACATGACGACTAACAGAGGCTTAAAAAATGTCCTCCATTACTACCACATATTTTAGATTCAGTAAAGAATGTTAATTGTAAATCCAAATGTGCAAAGTGATGCTAGAAAAATGTTACCACTGAATTTTTCTCTGGAACGTGGACTATATTAAAAATCATTGCCAGTATCCTCTTCAACTAACTTCATGGCTTTGGTACAGAGGGAGGACTATAAAAATAAACAACGTGTCTCCCCTACATCTATTAACAATAAAAACAGTAATAATAATGACAACCTTTTCCTGAGTCATATTATGTTCCAGGCACTGTTCTAAGCATTCCACTTACTCAATTCTCATTAAGTAGATAGGTATCTTTGTACTACAGAGATTCTAAGATAAACCCTTTCAGTCACATTTTAACTTTGCTGTAACCGCATTATACAGTCGATATATTTACTTAACTGGCAGCATTTCCACTCCTCTTATTCGTACACAAAATACTGGTGAGTCTCCTACTATTCAGTGGCATTTACAGTTTGATGAAATTGAGTATGACTGACCTCACTTAACAGAAAATCAGGCTCAGAGAAGTGAGCCTTTCTCTTTGACAAGGAGAAAGCTAATAGTGATGGAGTCAGAATTGAACTCCTGGTGGTCTCAGGTCCGAACCTGTGCTCTTACCGCTGAGTGAAACTCTTCTCATGACAGCCACTCACTGTGGGCTTCCATGTGGCAGTCTGGTATGTGTGGATTATTTCATCCACCCTATGTGGCGCATGCTGTTCATGCATCCACTGTGCAGTGGGACACCTAGACAAGATGTGATGTGCTTTGCCTTTCAGTCTCCCTCAAGTAATGTTTTCAGATTTCCCATGGATGGTGACACAGGTGATCCCATAATGCCGTGACTCTCCCAAATAAACTGAGAGACAAATCTTAGCAAGGCAGGGTCCAAGGCACAGCTGGGAAAAATCTGGAAAAACCAAGCTCAAGTATTTCACCTGTGTGTCTGCTCTAATTCTGCTTACTTTTTCTTCCAAGGCTATCCAAAAAGACAGTTGTGAATCCAATCATAATCTCACATGTAAGGTTGGATATCCTTTCCTGAGAAGAGGAGAAGAGGTAAGCAGATTATAAAACATACATGTGGCAACTGGATATGAAAAATACTGTGCTCAAGTTAAATGTATAAATCCCTCTAATGGTATTTTAGGATGATGCAGATGAAGTTTGAGTTCAAGATTTTGAGATACTGGAATCAAGAACCAATTAGTGCATGAGCCAAACTCAAATGCTAAGACAAAATTTAAAATTATACTTGATATTTTATCCAATAGTAGTAGGCTTTTCTGGCCTGTAGACAAAACAAATCTTTCAATTTTTTAGAATCTTTTAGAACTTTGTATAGAAACTCTTTTTTTTTTCATTTCTCTCTCTCTCTTAAATAATATCCTCATTGATATATAATTCACATACCATAAAATTCACTTATTTAAACTGTACAGTTAAGTGAGCTTTTGTATATTCACCAAATGGTGAATTCTGCAGCCATCACCACAATCAATCTTAGAACATTTTTGTATCCCCAAAAGAAACTCTGTACACATTACCAGTTACTTCTCTTTTTTCTCCTCCAATCCCTCCCCCAACCTCAGGCAACCACTAATCTACTTTCTTTCTTTATGGGTCTACCTATTCAGGACATTTCCTATAAATGGAATCATACAATCTGTGATCTTTTATAACTGACTTTTTTCATTTACCATAATGTTTTCAAGGTTCATCCATGTATAAGCAGTTCCTTTTAATTTCCAAATACAATTCCATTTTGTGGATGTAACATATTTTATTTATTCATCTATCATTTGTGTTGTTTTCGCTTTTTGGCTACTATGCATAATACTATGAATATCTGTGTACAGTTTTTAGTATGGGGATGTTTTCCATTCTCTTAGGGTGGAATTCCTTGGTTTGGTGATAACTATGTGCAACATTTTAGGAAGCTGCAAAACTGTTTTCCAAAGTGACTGCCCCATTTTCCATTCCTACCAGCAATATATGTCTTTCTTCACATTGTTACTGCCTGTGATTTTGATTTGTGTTTCCTTAATAGCTGATGATGTTGAACATCCTTTCATGGGCTTACTGACCATGTGTATATCTTCTTTGGAGAAATGTCTATTCAGATCCTTTACTATGGATGTCTTTTTTTTATTATTGAGTTGTGAGAGTTCTTCATATATTCTGCTTTCAAGTCACTTATCAGATATATGATTTGCAAATATTTTCTCCCATTGTCTTTTCATTTTTTTTTCAAAGATTCTATTTATTTATTTGACACACAGAGAGAGCACAAGCAGGGGGAGCAGCAGGCAGAGGTGGGGAGAGAAGCAGACTCCCTTCTGAGCAAAGAGCCCAATGTGGGGCTCTGTCCTGAGACCCTGGGATCATGACCAGCGCCGAAGGCAGATGCTTAACCAACTGAGCCACCCAGGCACCCTTGTCTTTTCACTTTCTTGATGGTGCCCTTTGAAACACAAAGATGTTTACTTTGATGAAGTCTAATTAATCTATTTATCCTTTTGTCCCTCATGCTTTGCTAACCCAAGATCACAAAGATCTACTCCTGTTTCCTTCCAAGAGCTGTATAGTTTTAGCTGTTACATTTGGGTTTCTATTCATTTTGATGAACTTTTGTGTATTGTGTAAAAGGAGAGGGTCCAACTTCATTCTTTGCATTTGGATATCCAGTTGCCCCACACCATCTGTTGAAAATGTCATTCATTCCCCCATTGAATTGTTGTGGCTCTTTTATTGAAAGTGACTTGACCATAAACATATGGGTTTATTTCTTGATTCTCAATTGTATTCCATTGATCTATATGTCTGTCTTTATGTCAGTACACTGTTTTGATCACTGAACTCTTTTGCAATCTTTGCAGTCTGAAAATGTAAGTCTTTCAGCTATGTTTCCCTTTTCAAAAGTTGTTTAGCTCTTCCACGTCCCCTGTATTTTCATCTGCACTTTAGGGTCAGCTTGTCAAAAAGGCCAGCTTGGAGTTTGATAGGGATTACACTTAATCTGCAGATCAGTTTGGGGAGTATTACCATCTTCAAGATATTAAGTCTTTGATCCATGACTATGGAATGTCTTCCTATTTATTTAGATCTTCTTTAATTACTTTCAAAAATGTTTTATATTCTTCAGAATACAAGTTTTAGACATCCTTTGTTAAATGTATTCCTAAGCATTTATTCTTTTTTAATGCTATTTTATTTTTGTTTCTTTCTTTTTTTTTTTTTTTTTGAAAGAGAGAGAAAGTGGTGGAGATGGGCAGATGGAAAGGGAGGGAGAGAATCTTAGACAGACTGCACACTCAGCACAGAGCCCATCATGGTGCTTGATCTCATGGCCCTGAGATCATAATCTGAGCTGAAATCAAGAGGCAGATGCTTAAACCACTGAGCCACCCAGGCACCCCCTTTAACGCTATGTTAGATGAAATTCTTTTCTTAAATTTATTTTCAGATTGTTTATTGCTCATATATAGAAATACAAATGATTTTTTAATATTGATCTTTTGTCTTGAAACCTTGCTGAAATTATTAGTTCTAATAGTTCTTTAGAGGATTCCTTAGGATATTCTACATATAAGATCATGTCATCTGCAAATAGAGGCATCCTTCCCAAGCCAGTGCCTTTTATTTCTTTTTCTTGCCTACATACCCTGGCTAAAACCTACAGTAGTAGTGAACAGAAGTGAGAGAGTGCTTTCATGTCTTTTTGAAAACAATATTTGTTTCCATGAAAAACAGAATATCTGTTTGAATGATAAACAACATATTTGCATATATTTTCATTGAAGGTTACTTTTCAGTATGAATATTTGCTCCTCCATTCATATTGAGTTAATGAGGGAAATATTGAATCAAAGTGATAAGAAGATATTTTACTTACTTGACTTAGTCTTTAAAATAAGATAGAAATACCATCCCAATTTCAACTTCTTCACATCATAACATTTTTTAATATAAAACTTCAAAATAGATCTTTGTCACCTTTATCACATATCCTAAAAAGACGACAAACACTGAGTTAGACATCTGGAAATGACAGAGTCACATATCTATAATGAAGTCTTTTAGCTCCTCTTTTTGCAAATGAGAATTCAGAAAGGTCTTTTCCCTTCACACATATGGCATGGCTACTAAGGACTGAAAAAACTACAAATGACAGTAATTATCATTGAATTCAATAAACCATTTTAGCTATGAAAATAACTAGGTGTACCACTTTACTTTAGGAACGTCATTATCAAGCCCATTTCTTGACTATCTCAAATGAAATTTATTGTGGAATTACATTTCTTCCCTAAAAATCTATAAAACATATATCATATTTTAAAAAATATACCCATGATTCCTCTATTTTGACATAGAAATAGTGAATTTCAACTCACTTCTACTTCTTCCTCTGGCCACTTTAATTAACCATGGAATTATCTCCATTTCTTTAAGAATAATAATATAGCCTGTGTTACATTTCAGCATTTAGAGATATTAATTGCAATCTTAATTATCTTTCAATCACTTTTTTCTTTCTTTAACAATTCCTCACTGCTTCGAGTAAAAGCTTAAATCAAAGCATCTCATGCCATCAATATAGAGAAGGGAAGATAATTTGCAAGGGATTTTTGCATGGGCTTTACACTTAAAATATACTTTGACTTCAAGATCTAAATTTATGATTTAAGCATTTCAGGATCATGTCAATAGAGAATAGGCACTTTCTTCAACCCTACTTCTCTGCTAGTATCTTCCCAAAGTCTGAAGACTCATTAAAAATGCCAAGACTTAAATGTTCAGGCCAGTCAGGGGTCTAATGAATAGGCAGGAAAAAAGGAACTCAATGAGAGACAATTTGGCAATTGGACCCTTTGTGAAGTATTATAGTTCAAACCCACCCAGTAATCTCCTATTAGAATTATGATTATTATTTCAATGCAAGAAGCATACTGCAGATCTGCAGATTCTTAAGAAAAGATTTTTTTTTAATGTAACCCAAAATACATGTGGGAAAGAAAATACAAAAGAAAACTCCACACATAATATGGTACAACCATGCAAATCTCATGACACCTGAATTCTAATCTTCCCTTCCATGACTGGGCCTAAATGGATTAAAAGAGCTTTCAATATCAAACTCTGTCCTGTCTGGCACTTAATCACAAAATTAAAATTTTAAGTCTCTATTAATAATGCACTTTGAGCCATCTTTTTGGCTGGCCAAATTCCAAAACACTCTAGTTAGCACAAACCAAGATTAGTTTTCAGAATAGGAAATACAGCTTTATAAAGATTATCATGAGGGGTCTTGGACTAGAACTTTGCTGAGGACCTATTTCTTCAAATAAGTAATCTGGTTTCTGGCCTGCCTGTCAGTGTTTATGAAGAGTCCTAATTATATAGTTTTTATGCTCAGGCATAGTTTTTAAAAGTAAGTTAGCCTGTATCAGAATGTTGGTATAATAAAAACGTTTTCCTTAGGTATTCTTTTTTAGGTATTAGTTTTTCTTAGGTATTAGGTGTTAAGTTTTTCTTAGGTATTATTTTAACTATGCAATTTGTAAGCAAAACTACTACATTATTGTTATTAGTATACTTTATTATAAATAAGTCTTTTATTTTTTCCTTTTGTTTTTACTCCTTGAAAGCCCAAAACTTTTGTGTACTATCAAATTAATGGACCCACATAGGTTTTCCCCTATTTTATAAAGAACATATATAGATGGTAGAAGTTTACATATTAAAGAGGCTTTAATTATGACTATTTCATAATTACATTGCTTATGGTTGTGATCTGGTAGAAAATGGTAATATAATACATAGAATGTACCTTCATGGTAATAGTTGATGTAGTATAAATTATTTTTATTAATGTGATTTGAATAAAGTGTTTAAATTCATATTAATATACAAAGCATATTTCATACTTACATCTAAAAGTATATGTATATCTTGTTCTGTTTTTGAGATGTGATTAGGTTTTATTTTCTTAGGTAATATTTCTTTTTTTTTTTCCTTAGGTAATATTTCTTAAATAACTTTGTAGTTTCAGTCTAGGTAATATCATTAATGTAATTAAATATTTTGATCGATGTAAACATTTTACTACTTTATCTGTTACTAGACTAAAAATATTTTTATTTCATAGGTTACTTTCAAAATATTATTTCAGTTTAACACATCTTATCTCATGGAAAATGTGATCACTCACTTAAGTGCAACAAGGTTGGTTGATATGTATGCATGAGTGTATGTGTATGTAAATGTATAAGTATGTAATTTCATTACTTAGAATATTTTGCTTTATAGACTCACTAGAACTTCTTACAGCTTTTATGAGAGACCAGTAAAAGTAAAAGGAGTGAACCCCCTTACTTCACAAAAACATCCTTATGATTAACTTAAAATAAGAAATTTAGAATTAATGCACCTACCAATATTAAACCATTGATTCTATGAGCTGTAAAACACGTTGTAATCACACATCACTTATATCTGCCAAATTGCATTTAAATTTATTTAAAAATGTTTACAGGATTGCTATTTTAACTTGTACTGGCAGTCTATCAAGTTCAACTGGATCATTAAATGGATTTAAAGTTTTATGATGCCCTTTTGTAGTTTAATACATTTTATCCAAATCAGCCAGAGCTTCTGAAAGATATCACCCAATACCCATATAACAAATTACAAATAACAAAAGGCTAATAAGGAAACTGAAATAGTGTCTTAGCTTTCTTCTAAGTATAATCACCCACTGGACCATAAACTCCTTGAGATAAAATTCTATCTTCTGTTGCTTTATTCCCCAGTATCTAACATGGTGCCTCACATCCAATAATTGCTGAGTAAATATAGAATGCATGAATAAATGAGAAAATAAATTAATGAATAAATGAATTCTGTATGCTCAATTTAATCCAGCTCAACAAATATTTATTTGACATCTACTAGAGACAAGATATTGAATTCATCACTATAGGGAATATAAAAATTAATAAGGACTTAAACTTCATGGAGTAAACATTAAATAGGAGGCAAAGACTAATATATAAATTACTATAATATATGGTACAACAAGGAAAATTCATTAGAGAAATAAAAACTGTGTATCAGAGACATAATAGAGGTTAATTTATATCTACTTGGCAATGAGACCCCAAGAAACCTTTATCAAGGAGATTATAATTAAGAAGGACCTTAAAGGTTGGGTAGCAATGCATAGGTTAGTAAATGGAATTAGGTAGAACATTTTAGGAAAAGTATACAGCTTGAGCAAAAACTCAATAGTGAACCACTAGACCTACTGAGGGAATATCAGGTAATCCATTTTAGCTCAAATATAGAGAATACAAAAAGGAGTAACAGAAGATAAACAGGGAGTGTGCATCCCATCATGTTATGGTGAGTATTGAATGTCAGAATGAGGCATGTTTACTTAACTAAGCAAACCATAAGGAGCCAGAAAAGTTCTTGAGGGGTGAAGTTTATATACAGAGCTAGCTGTTTCTTAGGAAGACTAATTTGGCCACAGTAGGGAACAGGTAGGAGAAGATGGGACCAGTCATAGCAAAAGCCCTGTCCCACAAATATCTATAACCCAAACGAGGGTGCTGCTTTTGCTCTACTCTAGCTCACACCAAGCCACTTATCACACTTGGATATGGCAAAGCCATTGAGAGGTCCTCATTGCCCATTCTGCGAGACCAAATGCTAGGTGCTTGGTCACTTGGTGGAGAGGGTATGTGTGATAAAAATAAGGAAAGCTAACATTTATTATTTCCTACATCTAGGCACAATGTTGAGCACTTTACATGTACTATAATCATTATTTATTTATCACTTATGATAAATCCCCATTTTATAGATGAAGAAACCAAGGCAAAGAGAAATTAAATAACAATACCATGCATGCTGGCCCTAGAGCCAGTGTTGGTAACTGTTATATCCCTCACTGTGCTTTTTTTTAACGCATGGGAGTATGAGATATGCATATGCAAGTATAAATATGCATGCCTTTACATAATATATAATTGAAATGACAACTTAAGGGAATAAATCTTTAACAAATATATAAGCATCAAATAATAAGCAATAGTCTTTAATAAGACTTTAAAGACTATAAAACTATAGTCTATAAGACTATTAAAACAAGAAGATCAAAGATTTTATATTGACTTTCCACCATGTAAACCTAGTCATGTCTCTTTGTGAGGTCCTCATCTGTTAGGAATAAATAAGAATCACATTGTGATCTCTGTTAAAAACACAAATTCCTAGGTCCCAACTCAAACCTACCTACTAAATCTGTATTTCAAGGAGCAAAGCTCAGTAATCTGTGTATTTAATGACTGAGCCAGAGTTACTTATCCATAATCTTCATAGAAGAAACCTTGGACTATATCATTCTGGTTTTCAACCCTAGCTACAATTCAGAATCAACTTGGGAAATTTAATAATACCCATCTGTTGCTGGCAAGGATGTGGAGAAAGGGGAACCCTCCTACACTGTTGGTGGGAATGCAAGCTAGTGCAACCACTCTGGAAAACAGCATGGACGTTCCTCAAAATGTTGAAAATAGAACTACCCTATGACCCAGCAATTGCACTACTGGGTATTTACCCTAAAGATACAAACGTAGTGATCCGAAGGGGTACCTGCACCCGAATGTTTATAGCAGCAATGTCTACAATAGCCAAACTATGGAAAGAACCTAGATGTCCATCAACAGATGAATGGATAAAGAAGATGTGGTATATATACACAATGGAATACTATGCAGCCATCAAAAGAAATGAAATCTTGCCATTTGCGACGACGTGGTTGGAACTAGAGGGTATCATGCTTAGTGAAATAAGTCATTCGGAGAAAGACAACTGTCATATGATCTCCCTGATATGAGGGAGAGAAGATGCAACATGGGGGGTTAAGGGGGTAGGAGAAGAGTAAATGAAACAAGATGGGATTGGGAGGGAGACAAACCATAAGTGACTCTTAATCTCACAAAACAAACTGAGGGTTGAAGAGGGGAGGGAGGTTGGGAGGGGGGTGGGGTTATGGACATTGGGTAGGGTATGTGCTATGGTGAGTGCTGTGAAGTGTGTAAACCTGGAGATTCACAGACCTGTACCCCTGGGGATAAAAATATATTATATGTTTATAAAAAATAAAATTAAAAAAATAAAAATAATACCCATCTGTGACCTCCCTCCCCTCCCTGACTGAACAACAACAGCAACAAAACAAAAACAAAAAAACAAGAATTCTACTGTTTTATAAAGCTCTTGTTTAGTTGCCAAGATAAGCTTGCCTTTCAAGTGCTCAGAAATGTCTCTAAATAGTCAGTAGTTTCATGATTTGTCTGAACATGCTATGTATTTTCTAGTGACAGCGAAGAACCTCCTGAAGCCCTTTCTGATAATGAAGTAAACATTTCTATCCCGGTAAAATATGAAGTTGGACTTCAGTTTTACAGGTAGGAGGAAAATGCATTTTTATGTTGATGCCTTTCTACAAACCCAGTGGTTCTCAAAGTGTGGTCCCTGGCCAAGGGCATCAGGAGCATCTGGGAACTTAGGCAAATTCTTGGCCCCACCCCCAATCTACTGAATCTGATTCAGTACTCTGGGGCCCAGAAATCCGTATTAAACAGGCCCTCTGGAAAATTTTCATGCCCTCTAAAGTCCCAGCATGCTAAATAATCTTATATGTGAGGTGCTAATGATCCTGGATTGCATTAGCAGTCCACTCTAAACTCATTACCAGTCCAGTCTAAACGCTGAAGACCTAGAAGAAGTAATTTATAAATTCTAGTGTTCTTGGAGGTCACCAGCATATTTCTTAGCCCTAATTTCTCATTGTGAGGGATCTGATCAGCCTGGCCATTCTGGACACACTAGATTAAATCTTTCTTATTGATGAGGGCTGTTTACTTCTTGCATTATTCATAAATTGTCCTTTCCCCTAAAAACTTTCAATCTATCCAAACACAAATCATATTGGCTATGTTTCCCACTACAAGTACTACACTACAAGTCTTGCTTAAGCAAGACTCCAAGCTTTTGCTAAAAAAAAAATATGTGCAATGTATATAAAAAGTATAAGAATCAGAGGCAAGTTTAGTCTCAAGGTCTTATTTTATTAATTTATTTTCTATGGCACTTTGCTTTATCTGATAACAACAAAAATGAGAGGATCATAGGGTATATATACAAATAGATTTTGTGTATATTACTTAGCCTCTGAATTCTATTTGCTGTTTTCTATCTGCTCTTATCCACTTCTCTTGGTACAATGATTTTTGCCAAGAATTTTTCATTTTATTAAAATAAAATTTTGACAAACACCTATATATTTTTATTATACTTCATTCCACCAAGTTCATCCAAAGAACATGGAGAAGTTGTATGGGAAAGAATGAATTTTTAAATTTAGCAGTAAATATAGGTCTTTAATATGAAAAGCTTAACATTTTTAAAAATCTATTTAAAATTCAGCACTTCTAAAAATATTAAGTTTTAGCCTCATTATTCACAAAATATAAATGATATTAGTGAATTAATAGAAACTTTCACTTGGTAACAATGAAACTTTATTTTAAAGTTGTATATATTTTGACATTTTAAGGCCAAATTAGCATCAGTGACTTACTGAACTAAATTATATAGCCTTTCTCATTCTCACCCTTCTCAAAGAAGTAATTGTAGGTTTCATGGTAAAAGAATTTACCTCTTACTTGAAATCTCTACAAGTACTTTCTGTGGGATTACCTGGTATAAAGAAAGAAAAAGAGTGAGGTCAAGTAAAAGTTAAACTTCATTGTGTTTTGTTTATCTTCTTCCAATTAATTCTAAGCTCTGCAAGTGAATACCATATTTCAATTGCGGCCAATGAGACTGTCCCTGAAGTTATTAATTCTACTGAGGACATTGGAGATGAAATTAATATCTTCTATTTGGTAAGAATCTACCTCTAAATTAGTATTGTCAAGGAGTAATTTATAAGCTTATAAATTAAATGAAAGTATTAACAGACACATAGAAACTTATTGATTCAACAGTTAATCTCTATATTCCAGAATTTTTTTTATAATTTCACTATTTTGAAGTAATTTTACTCAAAGAATTATTCACAATTATACTTTGAAGCAATTTTAAAAACTAAGGCACAAATTTCCTCCTAACACAGGCTTCGGTTGACTTCCTAGAAAAAATAAATTTATAAAACCAAAGAGACACTATCTATAAACCTATAGACTTTATTTACATTATTTTTTCAGTATGAGTGAGAAATGCACTTATAAAAAATAATTATGACTATTTCAGAAATTGATTACTTCAGATATCTTGGTAATATTTTACTTTACTCAACAAATAAATACATATCTCGTTCTCCTCATTGCTGCCTTCCATAGGTATCATACTATAACTTATGTTCCTCCTACCATATCCTTAAGTGATGTTTTCTATTACAACAATTATTTTTATCTTTGAATTCCTCATAATGAATTTTTCCTCACCATTATAGCAAACAATTATGGAGCTGAACCAGACTTTCATTTTAGGTAATGCCTACTTACAGACACAGACTAAAGTTAACATTACTCAAGTAAAAGAGGGTCCAATTCAAATGATGGATTTAAATATGTATTCAGAAGTATGAAATAATACAACATTATTATATGTGAAAATAGTCTCAATCTCTTTGGGAATTGCCAACAGTGGAAAAGGAAGTTCTCTTACAAGTAAAATAAATGTATCCTCTCAAGATTCATTCCGTTGTTTTTATCTGTGCTCTTTGCTAAAATTTCTATGACAAGTTTATGGCGGAAATTAGCATGAATGACAATCACCTTATTACTGAGATTAATTTTTGAAATTTTGGCTGCCAAGTTCTTCTAGCCCTATTTGCTTTTCCTAGATTAAAGAATTCAACAAAAACACAAGGAAGGAACAAAGGAAGGGAGGGAGGGAGGGAGGGAGGGAAGGAGGGAAGAATGAATTTTGAATATTATAGATCTTCATATGGTTTACTAGGGTCCAAACTTGAAACAGGTACTCTTAAATTATTATAAATAACATTGTTAAGAATATCCCTGACCATAATTTTTTTTATCTCATTATTTTGCTGGTATAAAACTTAAAGTTGGAGTAATGGAATTGAAAAAAAAAAAATGTGAACATTTTCTTAGGTAAGACCAGTGAATGAATTTACTACTAGAAATGTACCATAGAAAATTATTGGTGATACAAAGATTTATTCTCAGAGACACTCTTTTTTTAAGTTTATTGGTTTATTTATTTATTTGTTTATTTACTTGTTTGTAAGTAATCTCAACACCCAACATGGGGCTCAAACACACCACCCCAAGATCAAGAGTCCCATCTTTCCCAACTGAGCCAGCCAGGCACCCCTGGAAAATATTTTTACCAGTGTCATTTATAGCAGTTTAAAAATTGAAACCTGGGAACAATATAAAAGTTTAACCACATAAAATTGCTTAAATAAATTATCAGATAGTTACTCAAGGGAGAGACAGCTAAAGAGGACACATTTTAGATTTTAAAAAAACTAAATTCTGCTATTTACTAGCTCTGTGACCTTGAAAGTTCTTTGTTCCCAATTTAACTTTGTCTTCTTATAGGTTAAATAGGGATATTAAGAGAATCTACCTCATACGGCTGTTAACAGTGTTAAAGGCAATAATGCAAATAAGAGAATTAGCATAGTGTTTGGAATATAAATAAATATTGATATCATGGTTATTATTAAGCAGCTAATGAAAGTCATATTCTCAAGGAATCTCTAAGTTTATGGGAAAAGACCATGACAATACATTTTATAAATGGGATGCCAAATCTTGTATTTATTATGATACAAATTTTATAATGTATACATATATGCAAATGATAGGTAAATTTTACACTAAAGTGTTACCAATGTAGTAGAATTGTAGAAAACTTCCAGTTTATTTTCAATATTTTCAATGTTTCTGTAAAGAACATTGTTTTTAATCAGAAGAAAATAAATGTTAATTGCAGATTACATGATTTTTTTTTATTATTTACCAGAAAACAGATGGAATTAGAGTGGGAGACCATGGCAGGCAAGTTTAAGGCGTATTACAATAAGAAGGGACAAGAGTCAAGGAGCATGCTTAAGAGGCCAGGCACAGCTGGTCAGGAATTCCTAGAATTCCAAGATTAAGGGATGCATTTCGTTTTTGGCAACCACAGGGAATTGTTTCAGATCTGTGTAACTCCCAGTCCAGAAGGCTCAGTTAGATAGATCCGTTGGATTTTCTGGCATCTAGATTAAGGAGCTCCCTACTCACCTAGGAATTCAGCCTAGGGAAGATGTAAAGAAGGTGTACGTCCTGAAAATTACGCTTGAGTGGAAGAAGGGAGGCCCATAGCACCTGGTTGCTCCAATTCAACCTGTGAGGACTTTTGAATAGTAAATTCAACTTCCTGATGAATTTCAACCTGCCTGGCTTTCCTTCCCTATGTGGTACACTCACCATTGGTGGCATGATGTGATATTCAGTGGGAATTGTAGTTTAGTAGATAAAAGCATATAGGCAATGAGAGAAGAATCAATGTGACTCTCATCCAACTGGATTATTAGTCATTATTGACACAGTAGCCTAGCTGGAGATAGGATAGTGAAAGGAAGCAGACGGTTATCTGGTTTGCCTGTGCAGTGGTGGCAGATGCCATGTGGCTGGGCTGAGAAATGATTTGTGGGCCTAAGGGGTTACAGCAGACTGGTTGAGGCAAACAAAATAGGCTCACCTGTGCTGAGTGGGTCGAGTAAATGTTCTCCTTTCTTCCCACCTCCAAAAGACTAGGAGATCCAAAAAGATGATGAGCATAAATAAATTTAATTCTGACTTTTCTTAATCCCAGTCCTATTTTGGGAGTTGGAAGATGAAGGAACAATATACATTATAGCTGATACATATGGCACTTTTAAGCATCCCTGTTTTATTCTTGTTTAATCATGCCAGTTCTCTGTCCAGTGCCATAAGCTGCCTGCATTCACTTTTAGATTCAAAATATTATACAACTTAAATCAATTAAGGACAAATGTCCTACTGAATGCAGAAAGGGTGCTGTTGAAAGAAGAAGAGAGGATTAATTTTTATTTTTTTCCCCGTAGATTAGAAAAAGTGGACATTTTCCAATGCCAGAACTTAAGCTGTCAATTTCATTTCCCAACTTGACATCAGATGGTTATCCTGTGCTATACCCAAGTGGATGGTCGTCTTCTAATGTAAGTCATGTGTGCCTTGGAATGACATCATAATTATTATCTTCTTCAATTTGTATTTAAAACCTTTTGTTCTGCATGCCACCTGTGATAAAGAGCTTTACCAAAGTGACCTGGAGAAGAATTTAGAAAATTTTAAATAATAATAATAACTTCCACTGGCTACTTAATAGATGCATTAGTTTCCTACAACTGCTGTGGTAACAAATTACCCCAAGTGGGTGGCTAGAAACAACAGAAATTTATTCTTACTCAGTGCTGGAGACCAGAGTCTGCGATCAAGGTGCCAACAATGTTTGGTCCCCCTGGAGGCTCACAGGGATGCCTCTCTCCTAGCTTCTGGGGGCTGCTGTCACCCCTGGCATGCCTGAGCTTGTGGGAGCGTAACTGCAGTCTCTGCCTCTGTCTTCACATGCCTGTCTTCCTTGAGTTTCTGTGTCTTTGCCTCTTCGGTCTCTTACAGCACACTCATCAGTGAATTTAGAGCCCATCCTAAATGGAAGGACCTCATCTGGAGATCCTTAATTACAACTGCAACAAACCTCTTTCTTTTTTTTTTTTTTCTTTCAAGATTTTATTTATTTATCTGAGAGAGAGGGAGAGAGAGAATGAGCACAGGAGCAGGCGGAGGGTCAGAGGGAGAACCAGACTACCTGCAGGCAGGGAGCCCCAAGCTGGGCTCAATCCCAGGACCTGGAGATCATGACCTGAGCTGAAGGCAGAAGCTTAGCCAACTGAGTCACCCAGGCACCTCCAAATGACCCTTTTTCCAAATAAGGGCATGTTCCCAGGTTCCAGGCGCTAGGACTTGGACATGTCTTTTTGGAATACTTGTCAATCCACTGGAGTGGATTTTAGGTAACTACTTGTTGACTTGTGCCTTAACATGTTTGTTAGAGCTTTAATATTTTTGAGGTGATCAAACATCTCTAAAAAGAGACTTCTTAATTGCTCCTAAGCAATTTAACAGCTGCACGTAAAACAGTAAAGCACTTTTTTACTCACTTATCCCAAATAATAGCAGTATCACACCCATTTTGTACCTATAGCTTTGAATGAGTCAATGTGGTAAATTGTGTTGGCTCAGTCTCTAAGACAGAAAATCACAATGAATGTTGAAGTAATGCATGCATATTATCAGTATTTGACAATCGGTCTTCTCTTCAGAGACTTTTTTAAGTTAAAATATTCTCAGAAATCAAGAAGTAAAAACAGTGATAGTTGGATTATGATATTTAAATGTTGCCCTAAAAGCAAGGTAAAATTAAATCTCTACCATTTTTGGGATGCCTGGGTGGCTCAGTCGGTTAAGCCACTGCCTTCGGCCCAGGTCATGATCCCAGTGTCCTGGGATCCAGTCCTGCATCGGGCCCCTTGCTCAACAGGGAGCCTGCTTCTCTCTCCACCTCTGCCTGCCACTCTGCCTGCTTGCGCACTCACGCTCTCTCTCTCTCTCTCTTTGACAAACAAATAAATAAAATCTTAAATATATATATATATATATATATACCATTTCTCTCTAATACAAAAAAGCAGGTTAGTGAGGATGTAGAAAGACTAAAATTATACTTTTCCTATTACTTACTAACTTCAACCTTATTACCTTTTATTAAGGCTGTAGAGAGTTTTGATGAACAGAATGTTTATTAGAGTAAGTCTAGAAAAACAATCTAAGAACTAGCTGTCTTATAAACATGGCATCTTAACATTTATAGGGCTGCTGATTTACATCATCTTCCCACATAGATCAAGTATCTTACCCTTGGTGTTTAGAGACTCCTGAAATATTATTGGATGAATACACAAATACAGATGAAAGCTCATCTCTTTTTTTGTTTGTTTCACAAACCATCGTATGAGCCATCATATTGAATAACAAATGCCAACCCTTTTTTTTCCCACCATAGTTTTAATTTCTTTTCTCTCTCTGTATTATGGGAATTTACAACTAATATTTGATGAAAACAATAAATTAATGAGCATGTTACACAATAGTAAGTTCCACTAGCACCCTTCCTTTTCAATAACAATCTCCCTGATATCTATTACAATTCAAAAGTAGCATGCTAACAGTCATTATTACCTGGGAGTCTGTGTATATGGCTACTACAGAATAGCTTCTTCCATATTGCACACTCCTGAAGATGGATCTTTCATCTGTGACAATGGCTGTCACTCAGATGTTTCACGTTATAATACCAGGTCATTTTTCCCTCTGACATCTGGCATTGTCTGATAAAAGAAATATTTTCACTTCTTAGAATGCGAACTGCAGACCCAGTAGCCTTCAGGACCCTCTTGGCGTCAACTCTGGGAAGAAAATAATTATATCCAAACCTGAAGATCTCAAAAGAGGCACAATTCCGGTAAATACAGATAACCAAGACAAGTACTAGTTTTATCTCATGCCTTTTAAGTGAATAAATTCAATATCAACCTAAAAATAGCTATCTTGTAGAATATCTTCATATGGTATCTTTTTGTCAAATGACAAAGGTACTAATATGTACCTCTGATCGTTTAAACAGGACTGCAGTACGTGTAAATTTGCTACCATTACATGTAATTTGATTCCTTCTGACATGACCCAAGTGAATGTTTCACTTATCGTATGGAAACCAACTTTTATTAAAGTAAGTGATTGCATCGTTCTCTGCAATTATTGAATTATTGAATTATGTTAACCAGTGTTTGTTCATTACTTAGTATATACCAAGTACAGTGCTTCTGTAGAAAGAACTGGAAGTGTAAAAATATGTGGTTCAAACGTGGCTCTACTTAACCAACCAAATGGGTCCCATTTTCCTTGTTTATTTGTAACTAAGTTATCTCCAAGGTGTGCTTCCAGATATATACTTTTGTTTTCAGTCTCTTTTACAATTTTTTTGTACCTCTAGAAATAAACACCTATACAGTATCAAAGTTTGCATTTATCTTAACACTATAGAACCCAGTTAAGGGACAAAGAATTATAGAGAGACAGTACTTGACTCCTTGACACCATTATCAACAAATAGAGCTAACACATATTGTGGATTTATTGTATTAGATCAGAATTTACATATATATACGTATATATGTACACACATTTATATATTCTATATATATATATACACAATTTATACTATATATACACACATTTATATATACTATATAATACATAATTTATATATATGATATATGCACACACATTTATATATACTACATATACACATTTATATATACTACATATACTGTATATATGTATATATATATATATATATATAAAACAGGAGGATATTTTTTAGCTTCTTATAGTCATATCTGTCTGACAACAAGTACTTTAAAACTTAATCCATTGTATTTTGTATGGTTTCTTTCTCTCATAGAAGTGTTTGGTTAATTATATGAAATTCTCATTTTTAAGGTTTGATCATAACCTAAGTTACAATTTTCATAAGTGAAAAATATTAAGTTGCAATTTTTATAAGTTACAAACTTTTGGATATTGGCAATTTTGTGTTTTATCCTACACAAGCTCCTATATAAACTTCATTACCAGAGTGTAGCTATTTCATATCTAGCTGTATGAAAGGGGGCAGGGTTTGAGGTTTGTTTTTACCAAGGATAAATCTGAAGAAAATGATTTAGAAAATTGTTGCATTCTATAACAAGGACCTAAGTGACAATTTGAGTGGAAAGAAGAGGGATGGGTCGTCGTTTGAAACCACCAGTTCCATTTGGATGTTAGTAAAACCAGTGTTTTTAAACCTCTCAGGAAAATCTCAGTTTTAAAAATTGCACTGCTTAAACATGACTAGCTCTTACTATGATTAACATAATATATTGAAAATAAATTCTGTTTGCTTTTCAGACACGTTTTTCTAGCTTAAATCTTACTGTAAGGGCAGACCTTCAGAGTGAAAATACATCACTGATTTTAAGTACTGGCAATCAAAAAAGAGAGGTAAGAGCAACTCTAAGTTTTGAAAACATTATACATTTCACTCTGAATTTTGTGACATAATGTTTTATAATTGCTTATAGAACCTAAAGCAGTGACTAGCTAGTCACTAAGTAACAGACACTTTTTGCTTCAAATTGTACTTAATTAACTTCAAGTGTGATTTCAGTCTTCTTTGTAAGAAACTGGGAAAAACCATGATATTACAATTAACATGCCATGTTTGAATTTACTGCTTGTAACTATCACAATAAATTGGTGTTTTTACTTTCCCCTTGATAACAAAAGATGATTTGTAATTTTCCTCCTTAAAAACTGACATTATAAAATGCAGTTGATATCTGAAGAGCAAACTTGAAAAACACTTTATAGAAAGTGACTGTACACTTCAGAAATAAATGTAAATTTTGAAAGGTTTTCTTCACTTAGTCATTGGGAAGTCAGATGCAAAAATGAAATATTATTCCCTTGTACAAATTCACACTCAGTCCTTGGGAAAAACAAAATGGTTTGAGGTTTTCTCCCTCTTGCTTCATTATAAAATAAGGCCAGAGTACTTGTTACAGATGTGGATATGTAAACATTTCTCCTCTTTTCATGGGGGGGTTTAAATATCCCATGTGGATAGTATGAGTCATTTAATTTTATTTGGAAGCTCCTAACATTCAGATATTATTTAAAATTTTCTTATTTCAAATTAATACTTATCTCAAGTAGTTCCAATGTCAATGACCCCTGGTTAAAGAATATAAGCATATAATATTTACTTACATTATAAAGAATACTGATAAATGCAAATTTGTTCCACATGCAGAGAAGCCAAAATTTTACCAGTAAACACCACCCCCAAAATGAGTATGAATAATATTGTAAAAGAGTACTTTTGATTCCTAGATATGTTTCGTCGAAATTTTATAATTAGCTCTATTTCCCCTAAATGTTAGTCTAAAACTCCCCTTGGAACTATCATTCAACATTTTATCCTAAAAGAAAATTATACCTACATTGTTAAAATTACTAAAAGTGATCATTTTTTAATTGCGTGATCTTAGAGAAGTCACTGATCCCATCCAGATTTCAGCTTCTGCATCTGTCAGTTCAGGGAATTGTTTTAGATGTATTTAAAATCTGTCCTAAAAGATCTTATTCTGTACATATGTATACTCGTGCCAGCTCTGCGTTCCCAAAGCATCAGCAGTGACCCACACGGAGCCATCTGAATAGTTTGTATCAGTATCCAATATATGTAAATATCTCCCCATTCCCTTTTTTACCTCCAGTCTTCCCTTTAGCGTTAGGAATTGAGATGGTCCCTGTGACAAGCCAACATAGAAACTTGAACTGTTATTCATCGTGAGATCTACCCTGAATTAGTCTTTTTTCTTAGAAACCTAGGGATGAAACCCAGGGCAGACAAGTCTCACCATGGTTTGGGGGCCACATGGAGCTTCATTAACCTAACTAACAGCTTTTTACCTCAAAGTTCTCCTTCAGTTAAGACCTAATGTATAGATTGAAGATCCAGTCGACTGGCAGAGACAATGCCGTCTAATAAAAAGCACATAGGGCTGCATATATGTGCAAAAATTTATGTTACCTGTACACTGGAGATTTGTACATTTTACTGTAGGAGATTTTTATATAAATTTGTAGACAAAAAATAAAGCACATGAAAATTAGAATTAGAAGAAGACCTGCTCAGGTTTTTTTATGTCAGCAACCTGTGGTAACACTCCAGCCTAAACCTATATGGTCATGATAATGCACTAAAGTCAATCAATAAATCTTCAAAATATATAATACTTTGGGTTCTCAGTGAGTTAAATGCACCTCTACTCCCAAGCACTCTGATTCATAAACAGTTCGCTCTTTATGTATGCATTTCTAAAGCATAAGATTATAAATATTTGGGGTAATAACAAATTTGACATGCTTAGAGATTTTGAATAGATGAAGGGCATTTATAAATGTAAACTCAAGGTTTTCTCTGTAGGTAGTAATCAGATTAAGTACATTGTTTGGTAGAAAATTATAGCCTGCAAGAACTTAATGTACCAGGACATATAATAGGTGTTTATCAATGTTAACAATCTTTTTAAATAAATTTCAGTTTGCTGTTCAAATATCCAAAGATGGACTGCCGGGCAGAGTGCCATTATGGGTCATCCTGTTGAGTGCTTTTGCTGGATTATTGCTATTAATGCTGCTCATATTAGCCCTGTGGAAGGTAAGCACCAAAGTTCTTTTGACTTTCTATTTCAAGTATCAACAGCAAATTGGTGAAATAAATTATCATTTATCCATGCTGTGTAATATGGTATTACACAGCCATTAAAAATATTGAGATGATAACCAAGACAAAAGAAAAAAAAATGTATATCCCGAACATTGTGCACAACTCAATCCCAGTTTTGAAAAAGAAAAAAAATAAACAAATCCAAAAATCATGATGGATCTCTCTGGGGATTAGGATTGCAAAAGACCTTTATCTGTCTATAACACTGAGATTTGTAAATTAAGTATGCATTACTTTTATAAGTAAAGAATGAAAATTCTTCTTTTATAAAAAAAAGAACAAAATGAGCTCTTATGTCAGTTTAAGAGTATATAAATAATAGAATGGTTAAGATGAGCCTTATCCAAATACATATATCTATATATCTTAAAAACTAAGACTTCTTTAATATATGAAGAAATATGCCACATTCTATGTAATAGCTGTGTGTCTGAGTGAGAGAAGTTAAGTTCATTAGTTGATGAAAGAGAAATCTTACTGTTTCACTGACTCCTATTTCAAATCCTCTTGTAAAACTATTTCTATTCGGTAAATCCATATATTTACATAGATATTTTGCTTATACTGAGATGTGTGAGATTTTTCAAACTCTTAGCTGTATCCTTTTCAAATTAAGCAGAACTAAGATGATAGCATTTACACAAATTTAGTAAAGAGTAAAATCCTATCAAAAAGTTGAATTTAATGTTTTTTTTCCAATGAAACATCAAATTGGTATTCATTCTAACATCATACCATCCTATATTTTACCAAATTGTTTTATTAAATAGCTAAACTCTGTTAAAAACACAGGTTGTGGTTACATATTCATTTTTTGAATACCTGAGCAGCAGAATTCTCTTTTAATTTAAATAATAAATTTTTGTCCCACAAATTGCCAAAGGTTGCTACCCTTTTCGACTGGCTTACAATGTCTAACTTCCTCTTTTGGGGGGATTACACTCAGGGAGGATGATAAACAAAGCCATGTTAAAGGTGTAGATCAGTAGCATTTAGTTTAGTGAACAGAAACCGCAGCTTTTCTCCAGCAAAGTCTCGATAAGACAGAATTTCTTGCTTTCTCAAACCTCCAGCTTCTTCTCCTACTCCAGAGGGTTCAGTGTTCCGTCTGTAATACCTGGCTTTACCACACTGTGGTACCCAAGACCTGGCTTAGTGATGTCGAGGTTGTGCTTAAAACAAAGATTTATTTCTTCACTTCTGGGCACCTCTATTCCAGAGAGCATCTTACTGTTGATTTCTTTCAGTGTGCCTTTCTATTCTGAGCACTGCACTTGCCCATGTAGTTTAGGACACAGCTGACAGGGATCTTTTTACACTTAATAGACCCTGAGCAGAAACCTTAGGATTATCCCTTCTTCCTCCTTCTTCCAAATGTGACTCTGGAAGTTCATTGAAACTCCCAGGCTCCATACAGGGAACAGGCCAAAGATTCTTCCTGGATCTGTGACTCTATTTCAAAAAGTGCTGTCTTTATATAATTTGTCCTTGCAGTACACGTAGTAGAAATTAAAGTTTTTCAAAATCTTAATGGTAGCTTGCTGTAGTTAATATTGAAGAGAGAAGACTTTGAGGATACACAGGTTTAAATAGATGGAGAAACACCTTCTGGTACCACACACTGAGGGAGAAGCCCAGTCAGGCCAATATGACCAACAGAATGAAATGAGACTCAGCCCACAGAGAAGCCCTAAGAAAGCAGAACCTTTTCCTTCTTAACTTGATTTCATACTGATGCTTGAAGTTTCATCACTAATTATTTATTTACTAACCCTGAAGGTGTATTCCTTTTCCAATATACATATCCTTGGTGAATGTGGATGGGAAATAGCACCACCATTTTTCAGTCTTTTATATATTAGTTAAATTTATTCACTCAACATTTATTGCATATAATAAATGAAAAGAATAAAAATAAAAGAAATGACGTCAGTAAGCACGTCATTTCTACCAGGTACTATTGAATCTGACCCTTTGCCATAGGGTTTTGAACCCAGGGATAAGCATAAATAAGATCTAGCCTTTACTGATAAGTATATATGGGAAGGCAAAGAAGGAAAGTGAAAGTTGTAAGTCTGGGCACTGAAAACAAACTTAGCTTGTTTTTAATTTCGTCCAGTATTGGCTCCAGCCAGTTTGAAGCTATGTCCTGTATTCACCTAGTCTCCAGTCTTATGACTCAACTTCGCTAACAACCCACATTAATAGAATTAGCTGAGCAGAAAAGTTCAGATAACACAATTAAGTTTTTTTTAAAAGAGTTTATTTATTTATTTATTTGGCAGAGATCACAAGTAGGCAGAGAGGCAGGCAGAGAGAAAGAGAGAAGCAGGCTCCCAGCCGATCAGAGAGCCTGATGTGGGGCTCGATCCCAGGAACCTGAGATCATGACCTGAGTTGAAGGCAGCGGCCTAACCCACTGAGCCACCCAGGTGCCCCCACAATTAAGTTTTAAAAATAGAACACTTAGGGGTGCCTGAGTGGCTCAGTCAGTTGAGCATCCAACTCTTGATTTCAGCTTGATTTCATGATCGCAGGGTTTTGAGATGGAGCCTTGCATGGGGCTCTGTGCTCAGCAGGGAGTCTGCTTGGGATTCTCTCTCTCCTACCCTCTGCTCCTCTCCTCAACCCCCACTGGCGCTCTCTCTTTCTCTCTTCTCAAATAAATAAAGAAATCTCAAAAATAAAAAATAAAATAAAATAGAACATTTAGTATATGAAAGCAAAGGAAGGTTGAAAAGATGCAAAAAGACTTGAGAGGTAAAGGATGAGAGAGAGAGAGAGCAGGGAGGGACAAAAGAAAGAAGTCTTATATTCACCACCTGTTCCTGTGAAAGCCTTGTCTGATTTATTTTCAGCTCAGGACCTGCAGGCACAAGGTCAGGGGCCTGATACTTTGTGAATCCAGAACTTTTATTTTTGGCTCAAAGGAAGAAACCCTGAGACATAGAGAACTGCCATTGAAGAGGATACATTTATTGTTTTTTCATGTTTATTTACCTGTTGTCACCTTTTCCTCATCTACCACCAACTAGATTCTGACATAATGGAAGACATAAAGCTGTGTCATGGTGGAAGACATAAAGAAGTTACCTTCTTTAACTTAAAACTGCATTTTTGAGGGGAGGGGGATGGGGGGATGGGTTGGCCTGGTGGTGGGTGTTAAGGAGGGGATAGATTGCATGGAGCACTGGGTATTATACGTTAACAATGAATCTTGGAACAGTACATTAAAAACTAATGAGTACTGTATGTGACTAACATAACATAATAAAAAATAATGAAAATTTCTTAAAAACTGCATTTTTGACCATTTATCCCATATAAGCCCTCAATTATTCAATAATGATTTTTTAAAATATACCATTCCCTTGCAAAATTCACCATAACTTCACTATTAAAATAATATGGAGGTACCATACTTTCAAAGAATTAACTCACTGCCTGAACTATTATAATCTGCTCTGAAACTTTAAAAAAATATATAGACTTAAAAAATACACTTCTCTAGGACCCTTAATTTCCATTTATTTAAAATACTCACATTTTAGATGAGATTATTACAAAGGTCCCTTTCAGTGCCTATACTTATTTTTATTATAATGTATAATAGGAAATAAATATAACACTTATAATTTTATAATGATCCAAATTAAACAGTATAATAAAAAGTCATCCACATTCACCCCTATGTGAAATTTCTTCTATGATCATTGAGTTCCTTTCCATCTCCAAATGATACAGCATGTTTTCAAGAGGCACTTCCTGTCAAGCCTATAAAGGCAGATATTCTAACACATTTAAAATTAATCCAGACAACTCCCGTCTCCCCCACCCCTCAGCCATGGTGCATGTGCCAGATTCCCCCACCTCCAATGACCTCAATTTATGATCATCAGTTAATTGATGGAATTTCTCTGCCACATCCCTGAGAAAAAAGGTAATGACAAAGTGCCATTCAGTGCTAGCTAACTCTAGTTTGTATGTCTTCCCAAATATTTTCCCAGAACCTCTAACTTAGTTCACCATGTGTACTAGTTTTTACTAGGAGACATGATATATTTAACCAACAAAAAAGTTTAAAATGAAGCAATTTAATAAATATCATTTCTTGACATTCAGTATTACTTAAGAGGTCAGTGAAAAAAAATCTCAATTATATTATCTGTATGCCCAGAAGCACTGACATAGTATTAAATTTTATCTAAGGAAATTACTATTTATTACCTAAATTCAAATAATTGATTGTGTTATGCTTGGTATTTTTCCAACAGATTGGATTCTTCAAAAGACCACTAAAGAAGAAAATGGAGAAATGACGTATTTTACAGGAGAAAAAAATAACAGTTATTCAATTATCTATCCTCAGGTTTGCCTCAAATATGTGACAAGAAATTTAAGACATAGTCACATAACTTTATGTACTCCATCAGGGATTAATCACTTGGAAAATGACAAATCAAGGAAGATCCAAAAACAATACCATAAAGATATATTTTATAAAATGATGAAAAATATTTTTAAATAATTACTCTGTGTTATTTAAGTAAAATTACAAAGTGTTTTGAAGATGAAGAATAACGTGTACAAATATGTTTATATATTAAATCAGCATCCAGAGTATTTAAGAAATGCATAAAAAGATTTTTATGATCATTGATAAATTAAGCTTTTTCCATTAATTCCTGATGGATATCCACATTCAGCATGATAGTCAACATTTGTAAATGACAAGAAAGGAATTAACCGAAAAAGATCACTTCTCTCTATTCAAATGAGAAAATTTTCCTCGATAGAGTATATATAAAATATGGACTGAAAATAGAATTAAGTCATACAGAATACATTCAACATCTTTGCGTTGGGTTCTGTACTTGGAAAGTCTTTTGTATGTTTGTTTGCTTGTTTGTTTTTCTCCCAAAGTGTTTGGAAACAATTGAGCTGATGGAAAATGAAGATAGACTCGTTTAAAGACAGCTCACTGAATGGATTAAGCTTTCACAGAACATGCTTAATTTTGACAGGAGCCCTAGAACTCAAAACTTTCATGCTGAAAACAGCACTTCACAGCAGTTTTGTGGGGCATACCAGTGATTTGTAATGAAAAGCCCTGTTGTGTGTGGGATATGCTAAGATGGTTTCTGAATGCAACGTGACAGCAGATGCCACAGAAACGCCCACCTCATCTTTGCTGGGCAGTTTTTGAACGTTAGGGGTCCAGGATATAACCAAAAGTAGGAGTTTTCTCAACTCCTTGGCACATGGTTCATTGAAACCCTCAAGCTGTGAGAGTATGTTTATTTTTAAGTTTTTAAAGGTATTTAATTTTCCAAACACATTTCTTATTTTTATGAAAGGCAGCATTCTATTATAATATTGCATTTTTACCAAGAAGCCACTGGTTTTTTAGTGTGTGGCATATCAGTATTTAAATAGAACTCCAGAAATGTATTTTAAAGAATCTTAGGTTTGAAACCTTGCACCAAGAGAAAGATATCACACCTCTGTATGAGCTTCTTTGCTCCTGAAGTAATCATTATGGTGCATCGGACTCTACTGTAGCACAAGCTCGTAGGTTGCTCTGCTTCTTAGGAAAATAACAATGGATGAATGTATCATAGCCGCATGTGTGAACTACTGCTGTAAAATTTGCTGATATTCCTACAACTCCATCTCTCCACCTGGCTGACCATCACAAGACCAGCACCTGCCCAGCACCTTACACAGAAAGTCCTAGACTCTACTTTTCTCCAAAGCATCAAATCAAGGGAGAAATTAAATGCCATAGGTTTAATTTTTAAAACTAATTTCCAAGGAATTCTCCGAGGACTCAGAGTCGGCTCCCTCGTGCCTGTCTGCATCTACGTCTAAGATCCTGATGATCAAAATCATGCACCTGGGGAGTGCCCCGGTCATCAATACTAGAAGAAAGGCTCAGTCCATCCAGAGATATGATATCCTCTTGCCGGTCATTGTTCTGAAATGTCTACTTCGGGAATTTCCTTCATTCCCACAGCCTATCTCCAGGTTCGGAAATCATTCTTCCTACCTGTTCTTTCTTTGCCCGACAGAACTCAGGTCTCTCTTGTTCTGAGCCACCGCATTGCACAGCCTATTGGCAGCTCAGCTCCAAAATCAGCACATTCTTAGAATAAATCAAACAGGTAAACTTAAATTCACACTTGGCCTCTAGGACTGTTAAGCATCCTGTTTCAGTGAATGTGCACATTTCAACCAAATACGATGGTAACCCGGAAGGGAAAGATGGAAACAATGGCATTTTGAACTTGTTAGAAAAGAGAGGAGCAACCATTGGGACAGATCAAATAGCTACGTATAAGCCTGGCACAGTTTTTAACAGAAGTCGTTCCCAGTTTTCAAACAGAATGTTTAATGAACCAGATATCCCTTTTCCCTAGTACTATTATTTGTTGGGCTTTATGTGCGTATGTGTGTGAGCATCTGTATGTGTAATGTGTAAACACACATGTACACACACACACACACACACGAATAGACACAAAGCAAATACAAAATACCTCAGTAATACCAAATGGCAAGGTTTGACAAAATGACAAAAAATAAACACAAAAGCTACACCAACAAGAAAAGTTTGATTCATCCATTTTCATTAATTCATTCATTCATTTTCATTAATATTTGCACAGTTCTGCAACTATCTAAAAGAAGTAAACGTGGAAGTTTTGACTAAAATAATAAATCAACAGTACGAGTGTTCTTAAACATAGTCAATGATTAAGAAATATACCAAACTCTAATCATTTTATTCTAAAGCACTTAATAAGAGAAGTGAGTGCTATTTAAGACTATGAGTTTATGTCAAAAACTTTTTTTTACATTGGTATTTTATAAAATTGATTATTTCTTTCATTGTGAACTAAAATATGTATGAAGTCCCTTTCCGGAACTTAGAATGGTATATTGGTAAATTATTCAACAACTAGCTCTCCAGGAGGAAAGAAAATCCCTGATTTGTATCATTTGCCAATTTCCATGATTTAAATAGTCTTGCCATGGCCATTTTCAAGCTACCAATATAACCCTAACCAGCTTGCAAAACTCCTGAAAATTGATCTGTCAGCTCCCACGAACCAGTATAAGCTGGCTTCAGCACACCATTGAAATAGATTAGATGACAATCATGACAATAATAGATGATAGATAAACAGATAGATAGATACAGAAATTCAATGATATAGAGATATAGAGATATAACATGTTAGGCATATATAATGCATAAATATACACAGTATAATCACCTTTCAAATTATGCTTTAAAGGCTCATCTCAAGCCCAGCAGACAATTCTATCCCTCATTCTTCAATTTCAATTTCTAGAATTATAGCCTTCCTTTAATATTAATAAAATGTTAAAAACTTTCAGGAGAAGCAAGGAGTTGAAAGCAAGAAAATATAAAGGGTGACACCATGAAAATCAGACTTTGACAGCCACAAAGAAACTTTTACTTTCTCTGGGAATCCAGAGCCATGAAACAATACTGTGAAGTTTCATCCTTTGCAAATATTTGTAATTTCTATGATCCAATTTGAAATTCAGTGGTTCCATTTATTCAATTATTTTCTCTGAGCCTTAAAGTCATAGGCCATTTAATCTCTGAATAGTTCCATGTCATCAGTATGCTTGAAATGAGGCTTGTAGGGGAAGATGTTTTTGCAAAATTTGATGCTTCCTCAACCATAATAAATGTACCTACACAAGCAAATACCTGTAAATACCTATAGAGATATATATTCTCTTTTCCTTTTACAAAACCAATATCTAGATTCAACTGGAAAACAAATATCTGCTCCAAAAGCAAATGTGGTTGCACAGTGTTTGACCAAAGCTGGGTTGTAGCTGCCGTGGGAAGCTGTGCCCACATTCTCCCCAGGCATCCCCTGCAAGGGCCACAGCTTATGAGGGGAACAACCACCCCTCCAGCTCCCGGCAGCGCGCTTTCAGAGAAGATGTCTTTGTCAAACATGTGGTAATCTGCTCCATGAAAATTAACTGTCTTGCTTGGCACAACACTGAGAAAACTAGGGAAGACCCAGGCTCCAAGCATGATTCATGTGCTTGGTGCAGTCACGTTACTGTTCAACTAAAGAGGCTTCTGGCAGCTCCTTTTTTTTTTTTTTTTTTTTTTTACAAAATAATATCCTTTGCATCCTTCATTTAGTTTCAATGCTTCTCAAGTCCTGTACATTAGTCATCTCCCTCCACCCCACCACCAAGGGAGATTTTCCAGAAGACTATTAGAGAAAAACCTGTTTACATGTCCTCTCTGTTTGCTGTGAATACCAGCTTCAGTGAACTGATCCTTTATACAGAATTTCAGGCCTCAGGTCTTCTGTGACACTATAAAAGCATGACATGATATAGGCATAATGTAATAGGGACAAAAGGCCTTGTACTTCAAAGAAGGAATATCTTTAAATGTGCCAACCTTTGTGGGACGCTGTCAGCATCTATGCCAAGAGTTGAAGGAAGGGTTTGTAGGATGTAGCCATCAGCACCCCACAGTCTCCATCCTCACCCATGGACATAATAATCCAAAAAATTAAAAGAGGGCTCTAAAATCTTCAGATTTTTTTAATGCAAACACAGCTTCAAGATGAGTCCACTTGGCAACCCCTTTCATACCAAACTGCTATCCCTAAACCTCTCCCGCACAGTACTTCTGATGTTAACTCTGCTGTGCATTACAAAAGGGCTCAATTCTGCTGTTTCCCAAATGGAAGCGCTATTGTGCAATATCTTATGTAAAACAATAAAAATAGAGCTAACACCTAACATTGTGATCTGGTGAACAAGTCAATATCCTTGATTCTCATATTTTTTTTTAAGATTTTTATTTATTTTTTTGATACAGGGAGAGAGAGAGAACACAAGCAGGCAGAGTGGCAGGCAGAGGGAGAGAGAGAAGCAGGCTCTCTGCTGAGCAAGGAGCCGGATGCGGGACTCAATCCCAGGACCCCGGGATCATGACCTGAGCTGAAGGCAGCCACTTAACTGACTGAGCAACCCAAGCATCCCCCTTGATCCTCATATTAAAATTTAACCTTGAATTTTAAAATTCAAGTAGCAGCCTTTTACCATCTACCTTGAGGAAACATGAAGAAGCCTGTGTCAGCTCCTAAGCCCCAACCGCATTGTCCCCTGCGACATCTGGCACCTGGAGGACCAGGTCGTAACTGAAGGGGATGGATACATACTGCTGCCTCTATGAAAGGCCTGAGCTTAACCCCTGAATTCATGGCACCCCAGATCAGCCTGGTCCCACCCCATATCAGATATACATGTAAGCACTTCTTGCTGAAAATTTACCATACTGAAAAATACAATGCAAGGTGAGTTATCATTTCAGACGTACTCTGCTTTGAGGTCAGCGTCTTTTTTTTTTTTTTTTTTTTTTTTTTGCCTTTTTAAATATATCAAAACCTTTCCCCCATAACTAATGAGTGCAGAACTTTACCCAAGACTTCCTTACACTTGCCTCCTGCTACTGGCTGGAGAATATGCATGCTATGAGGACTGGCAGCAGGATCCAGAGCCCATTTGCAGTATCTTTCTTGCTTCTGCCCTCCAGTCGGTCTCTTCTATTCTCAAGTGCACACTGGGGATGTTTTGTTTTGATCTGGAACTTCTTGGCAAGGCCATTACAAGCCTCATGCCTCTTGCAGGACCTTGCATGGTTGCATGTTTTCTTCTGGTGAGTTGAGACTTGGAAATCCTTTAATTATCTGACACACCACGGAAACCCTGGCAGTACACTAGGGACCAGTGACATTCCCAACTATGATGATATTTGATTTCACCATACTTCAAGTCACATCTTTATGGAAAAAAAAAAAAAAAAAGACTAAGTGGAATTTTAGAAGCTCTTCTGCAGAAGATGGAGACTCAATGCTTAATCTTTTATTTCAGCGTGATCTGTGCATATAGATGGAGGACAAAATTTTAAAGAGAAATCTTCCAAGTAACACAGAATGAAAGCCAGGTGTCCTCTTGAACAATTCCCTAGTGCCATTACTTGTTCCCACCCCCATTTTTAAAGCAAGAGATTGAACGAGGAAAAGTAAACATCATTGTTCCTCCACAGAGTCGTAGCCAAGCAGAAGGGAAGACACACCCTCACACAGAAACTGATCGAGGCTTTCTGAGACATTGTAGCGTGGTAGGTCCAGTGCCAGGTGGCAGGCAGTCTTCCTGTCATGCCCCCCTGAGGCATCTTGCATCTTGAGAGACAGAAAAAAAAAATGGTGGGGGAGAGGAAATGAAGCTATTTCTCTTTTATATATACATCCTTCCTCCTCAAAAATACCACAAGCTTCCTTAGACCACATTGTACCCACACACCATATTAACACATGTACTTTCCACGAGTAAATTGTTGATTAAATAAAAATATATTCTTACTTGCTTATTAGCTAGGGCTAATTTGCTAGAGTTTAGTACACTTTGTCTCAAGTAAAAACAATCCTTTGAAGCAGCAACACATCAGATCTTCTTCATACTGGAATCATTTCGCACCGGACATCCTGATACTTGGCATTTAATTCCGACACCTCTTGGCCTTATTGCAGGATGCAACAGCTCTCTCTCTCTCTCTGCTTTCTTCATCAGGAAACATCGGCCGGTGAAGAGAATGGTCTAATTGTGTATTACTACTGTGAGGGTGTAAAATTGTTAACGGTGTGAAGAATCGTATCCATTTGATTAAAAAGAAAAATATTGTATATAATAACTACTGCCCTGAAACATGTCTCCTATCACTCTAATAAAGTTTTCAGCATGGCCTGACATAAGGTATATTGCATTGTGTATTTTTTTATTTACCTCAGAATAAACCTATTAAAATTAATAACTTGAGGGTATGTGCATTTCTGTAAGACTTTTATTGGACAAACTCATTAGACAAAAGTCTTTTCATCTCCTCCAGAGCAAACACCTTTGTTGACTCTATTAATTTATTAGATGTCTAACTTAAACCCATTTTTAAAAAGCTGTTTTCAGGCAACAATCATTAAAGTGATAGAGTTAGAAATCGCTGAGAGAGTAAAAGAATATTTTGAATATCAAATATATGGTATATCCTGTACACTGATTTGAGGTCAGAGGTTTGGTATTTTGGGTATAATTCTTTCTTATCTTGTGCATCAGCTGTGTATTTACGTCAAGGTAAAGGAGCATCCTGTCTTATCTATGAATTTTTTTCTAATGATTCAAAGAATGGGATTGCTGTGATTTAAGCACATAAATTTTATCCAAGATTAGTATTTCTTCCAAAGGTCCAACCTTTTTTTAGCTCCTTGGTAGGTTTTCACTTTGATGGTCTAAAAGGAAAAAACAAAAGCAAATAAAGTGTGTCTGTGGTGTTTCCTGTACACAATATAGCAATGTGATTAGTCTTTTGCAAACTTGACACAAAAGCCACAGAATCCGTATTACCACATATCTTCTTCTAATGGGATGTTTTAAAAATAAATAATCTGTTGTAACAATAGATTAGACCACATGGAGAGAAACAAAAAAAAAATCCTAAATGAAAAAAAAGTTAATTTCTTTATTTAACCTATAATTCAAAGAAATATAATTTTTAATATATAAGGAAGAGCTAGAAGAAGATATAAGAAGGAGTTTTAGTAGTAATCACACATGTTCATCTTGCAAATGTTTTCATCCTCAAACCACACTGCAGGATGACTAAGGTACTTTTACAGAAGAAACAGGCAGACTTATGAGGAGATTATTTACAAGATCTTGTACTAATTTTTGTCAGCACGTCTCCAATGCCCTGTCTTTTCTCTCCACTGTGAGAAGTAGTTTTTCTGCCAGTTCACACTTTGCCTAGGATGAGAATACACAGTGGAGGTACTAAGAAAAAATCTGGATATATTCACTATAAAATAAATGGCATACATCAGAATTTATTATTTGTGAGGCTTATAGCATAGGCACAAACTTCACTTTCCTATCCCTTGTGGTGTCTTTTTTTACTTTTATAAAATTAATGTAATAATTTGCAGGCAGAAGTCAGGAATAATGTTCACCCAACAGAAGTGATCAATGAGGGGTGGTAAGTTCTATTTTCTTCTTTACAATAGTTATGCTATTTGACCCGTTTTTAACAAATGAGT